TTTCGGATCTATATTTTTCTCTTGCATTTATTTATTTATTTCCGTAGGGGGGTTAAAGGGTTATTGAAATTAAATCTCAAATATGATGAGATTATTTCATATTTTAAAATCTTGGCTGTGACCAAGTAAAATTTGGTGCCTTGTGCACAGATATTTAATTCTAACGAAAAAATTTAGTTTCGTTGGGATAACGCACTGTCTTCCGCGATTGGCTCTTATTGCCTGTCTTATACTTTAAATTTATATCTATAATCTATTATATTCTGTCTTGAATGTTGCCAATTGGCAACACTTCATTACTAAATACACGATTCAAGATTAGAATGCTCAGGACAGAAAAGCTTCTTGCTTTTGTTTTTGCAGATTTTCTTTCTTCATTGTTTCATTTTAAAATATCATCAAATCATCATATAAATTTCGTTTTCTTTTTCATAGCGTTTTACAGTTACTGATCGATAACAATTCAAACGAACAAGAAACCAATTTTTAGAAATAATTCTGTCGGTAATTTTTATCATATTCAAAGAGATTTTATCTTGTAACGTAGATGATATTACGTAACGTTACACACGTCATCGTTTATTTAATTCGCAATTCCATGCTTGTGTGATGGATCATATATAAAGTATGATTATTTATGACTGCGATTATTATATCACAGAGAACTGCATTAACATTGGAAAACGATATTCTATCTCGTGATCTTTTATACATTTTAATATTTAATCCTATTTTTTTGTTTCTCTTACGTGTGCCAATGTGTTTTTTATATTTTCGGATATCTTTATCTAGAGAATCTTTTTTTCTACGTAATTGCGATGCACTTTGCTAAAATAAAATTTATCTGTGTATAATAAAAATGAGATAATATTATAAAATATATAGGATTGTGTGTGTTGATTGCCAACAAGAGAAAATGTAAAGGTTAATATTTTTTGTGCTATTTCTGCAGCCAGTTCAATGATTAAGCTATATCTAATTATTCGCGCATATGTTATTGACTGCTATCTATAATTTTAATTTCTTTAATTTTATTGTTGATATATCTATTAAAAAGTTAACGCGATGCTTGATGCTTTCACTTGTTTTCAGAAATAAAATAATGTCGTTTGTATTTAAGCGTCATTTCAATAGCCAGAAATATGCCAAGGACTAGTCGCATACCGTTTACCTACCGTAAGAACATATACCAAGTGTATGGTCAGAAACGTCGTAACTTTGATAAATGTATTACGTTTTTAACCTTTATGACAACTGAAAAAATTTCTTCGGTTTATTCAATTGGGATTATGATACGTTCTAAAAAATTCAATTTTCTCAGCGGGAAATTTCCCAGACAGCACCAAGCCCAAAATTGGCGCATAAGATATTAAGAAATCTTTAAGACAGCTTTAAGAAATCTTATGATATCCGGAAGACATCTTAAACATATTTTAAAGATATCTTATGCGCCGATTTTGGATTTGGTGCTGTCTGGGTTTAATCTAAATACTTGTTTTCAATCACTATGATTATGGAAAATAATTATCATTCAATGAAATTGCGATTTTAAAGATCTAAAATATTCATAATATTATTTCTACTTGTTTAAGTATAAAGTGTATTTTATAATTTTTGAATGTGAGCAGAAAGGTGTGTTTGTTTTTTTCTTATTATGCTTTTTCTATTTTAATTTACATCTTATTTAGTTTATTGCTCTTTGTTATAACATGTTCACATTCTTTATACATATAATTTTCGCATATTTCAAGTATTTAGTTTGTTCCAACTAAAATGCATATTGTTATTGTTAATCCATGAAAATTTTCTAATTAAATTCGATAAATTCTCTCTCTCTCTTTTCCGCATTGAAATTTGTGAAATTTATGATTTTCGAGGCAATTTTGTTTTATTCCAAAAATCTGCAGATGCTCTGCACATTTGTGAGAAACAGACGCAAAATGTATAAATATTATTTGTGCACAATAATCTACAAGAGATGATGTTATCCCAAAATTTCCAAACTGTTTCTGTAGAAAAAGTTTCTTACTCAAAAGCCTAATTGTGATCTTCAAAATAGTTTTCTTGTAAAGGGAAGGGAGGCATAAGAAGGAAACGTAATGATCTTAATCTTTCTCTCATGATTGAAAGTCATCTTTGAAATTATTTTGTATTTAGTATATTCTCATGTTCTGTAATTTAAAAAACCATTTATTTAGATCTCCTTTCTCTATTATCGATCTTTTGAATTTCCAAAAATATCTCACATTTTTTTATTTATCTGGTTATGAGTTGGATCATGATTTTTTTGCTCTTTTCTAAGATAAAAATAAAACTGAAAGATTGAAAAGACTTAATAATAGCGTAAAAAAGGGCTTTAAATTAAATCGCAAAAGAATAAATATTAAAATACGCTGACATAAAAGGATTCCTATGACAATTTCCGATCATGGTAGACAGTTGATGAAATCATATGTACTCTCAACTAGTTTGAAGATGACAATAAGACTTTGAATGAGGTAACTTCTTCGGATACATTTGAGGAACTTTTGAGTAGCACCACATATATGAAAAAATTGGTTTATTTTTTATTTGTCCACAAAAATATAATAAAAAATATTGAATTTGCTTCTGTACACACAACATACTATAATATACGCACATTCTCTCTCTCTCTCAATTGACATGCTAAATTTTTATTTTTTAAAACTTAAATGTTAAAAATCTTAAAACATGTTAATTCACACATTTAGTATTAATAATAATTAAATATTAATAAAGATTCTTTAAGCTCATTATACATATATTTATTTATATATTATATATATTTATTATATTTATTAAAAGTATGAAATAAAGAACGAAAAAAAAGAAAGAGTAAAAATAATATTATATTGCATTATTTTTTCAATTAATCTAAAAGTACATATGCACTGTATATGTGCATATGTACATATGTATGGTACACACACATATGACGCACGATCGACTAGCTTATACCGTTGAATCTGTAGTAGCATAACCACGTACGTAACGGTATTTCTCTTATGGAGCAGTTAACAAAGCATTTTACTTGATCTTTTCCAGATTAAAAGATGATTTTTGATATTACAACATTATTTAAATTAATTTACCGAAATTGAATGAATAATGATTGCGATTATTATGAATGACTTTGCAGATTTTTTGTAACTTATTCTTGTAATTTTTATAATTTATTTATACATAAAAAACAATGTATTCGTAAACAATGCTGTTCTTTCAATATTTTTATTATAAGAATATTTATTAAATAATATGTATGTAATATACATATTCATATATGTTTCGATTATTTACTCCAAAATAATAGACTAGAAGGGAAAACGATTAATTTTCACAGAAAATATAAAAATTATATTTAAAGAATATTTTTTTAATTATTGTGAATTGTTTTGTTTTTCGCAATTTGAATGTTTGGAAAAATTATCATGATTTAAACATAGCGCCTATGCAAAAAATGATTAGAAATGTGTATTACTGCAGTGTGTGACTGATATGTATATAATTTATATCATGATTTATATCACGATTTATATCACGTATATCATTGTACATACAACTTTATTGCAAAATATTTACATATTTTTATTCGAATATTTTTATACCATCATAAGATGTGTGTGTATGTGCGTGTGTTATATCTCATTGTTAGTTTAAATATTATTAGAGAAGCTCAGGTCAGCAAGCTTTTAAATGATGTGTCTTTATATTTTTCTCTTCGTCCTAAGTACAAGACTACATATTATTTACGATCGATAGAAGAAGGAATGTTATATTGATCTAACGCGAAATAATTCTTATAATAGCACATGGCTTTACACAGTGCTTCGCGACACTTGTAGTGTGAAATGAACAAATAATACATAAAAGAAATAATAATAAAAATAATAAATGCATTTTGAATAAATTTTCAAATTTCTGACTACTAAACTAAACGATAATATTTAATTGCAATATGTATAAAATACGTTATTGTGTATGTGGGGAGGTAGTGTAATAAATAGGTATATTTGAAATTCGTGGGGCTTACGAGCAGCTGATTGCCAAGATATAGCGAGATAAAGTGATCATCGGACGATTTGAAATAATGTGCATAAAACCTCAAAATTTTCACAAATGTTTTTTTGTCGTACAGATATAGAAAATACATGTAAATGGTCTTTATTACAGAGTATATTATAACCGAAAGAATTATTTATTCATGAAAATTGAATATTTATTTTCTTAATTTTGGTTTATGTTATGCGCTACATTTTTAAAGAAAATTGAATTGTTTCCTGTTTATTACATATAAATAAAATTTGACAGTAATGATTGAAAAGAATTTAAATAATGCTTTTTAAGAGAGATTTAAAAATATAAATCTTAAATTATTTTTTAATTACATTTAATAAAAATTTATCGTAATATTTAATTTGGTGTAAAAAGAAAAAAAGACTCAACGTAATATACTCTCTAATTAAATATTTCTCAACATTCGATTTTTCGCATTGATTAAAGACAGACTTTTTTATATTAAAATAAGGATCTAGGAAATGTTGCAAATTGAGAGCTACATACAATAAGAAAAGTGTTGAAAATCTTTGTTTTATAAAGTTATTAGTTGCAAATTACATTCTTAAAAATCACGAGTTTATAGCGCCTTCGTTGAATTTAATAAATATATATGTAATAATTATTTTTTAATTATTTTCTAATAATGAATATTAGATATAGCGGGAGTTAACAAGGGAAACAAACTGCTAAAAAATTCTTACAATAAACGGAACAGTTAAAGCATGTAATCGCAGTTAGGATTATAAAAGATCAACATTGTTATAAAGTGATAATAGTTGCTTTCCATTTACATCAAAACTCAGATAAATCTCACTTCTGTCTTTCTTCAATTTCCATGTTAAAGAAAGACAGAGGTGAGATTTATCTGAGTTTTGATGTAAATGGAAAGTAATTATGATTTGTGTGCGAATATTTTGAGAAAAATGGCGGGAGTTTTTGGCAATAAAGAAAAACCGGTTTGCGTCAACAAGCGATTGGGTGTGTAACGAACGAAAGCTTGGATAGTGGTGAATTCGATGTTACGCACCTCGCTATGCTAGATTGCACGCGATGACCATACATGTTCATCCGGACGACTCCGGTACCATACGGAGAGCGTCCCACATACTCGGTACCATCAGCGCCGCGCCAACATTGCTGTGACAACAACAGCGGAATGTCATATATTGAGGATGTGTCTTTTAATTCTTCGAAAATCTTGTCAGACGAGTTTAATAAATACACCACTACCGGATGTCCGCATGTTGCAACCACGTAACTGTTTGACCGAAAAGTCTCATCAATAGATACTTAGCTTTGGAGCAAAGGAATGCGACAAAAATATATAATATGAATAGCTGTCAATTATAGAGTTGTGTTAATTAACTGTAATATTGTCAAACAGTATAACGAACCAGAGATCACTGCTATTGCTTATCAAACTTTATTCCGAAAACTTTCGCGGCTAAATTAATCTTTCTAATGAATTAAACCTTTCTAATGTTTATATACTTGATGATTTTTCATGAACTTTGTTGCAAACAAGTAATAGTCAAAATTAAATATTTATAAAAGAATATATTGATATAAAAAATCCATCACACATCTAAATTATTTATGCATACAATATATTTTGAAAATTATTTGTTTATTAATTAAATACACTTGAAATACAACATATAAACTATAGGTATAGATATTATAAAATCTTTTTATTTTTCTTAATAAATTGAAGTTGCTAAATATGCCATATAATAAAATTATATAATTGTCTTGCTGAAATTTTTCAAGGTCTATTCGTAGAAACTCGTTTATTATATAGAAAATGAGATTGTGGTTGTACAATATAAGTATATCGCAGGAAGAAACATATTCATACGCTAGAATGCATAAAATTGGTATAAATAATAATTCTTGACGTTTATCCTTCGTGGTCTCTTTATTACTATTTACATATGCATTATGTAACTAAAACAATCGTGTTATTACACATTGCTAATTTATCACTGAAAATTAGTTAATTAAGAAAATTTAATTTGCAATAACATTAATAAAATGCATAACAAATTATATACCGCATCTAAAAACTTTAGAAAAATTATTTGCAGAACAGTATTTTGTACTTTTAAGTTTATTTATTTTATTTTCTTTGTTTGCTTTCCTTTTAATTTCCGTAGATATAGATTCCATAAATATTTCTAACATAATTTGGAATAAACAATATATTGTTGAATCGCAATCATTGATAATATATTCATCAAATAATGGCCATGAAGTTTACGTAAAGTCATCATGAGTGTTCGATAATTATTACTTATAAATTAGGTCAACAAATCCTTGGTTTATATTTATACTTAATAATTAATACCTGGAATCGCGCGCGCGTCATAGAATTGCGTGTGGAGCAGAAGTAAATTAATATATTAATCTTTCTGGCAATTAATGCTAAATAATGTATTATCAATATACTTATATCATATCTATTCATATATCCGTGTACGCATAAGTGGAAATATAGATAGTATACACATTATGCAAGAAAAATACAACAAAAATAAATATATAATTTTTTTTTTCATTGTCAGAGTGCGATACAAATAAGCCAGCTTTTATAATTAACATGAATGCCAAAATTATATTAAACAGCAGCGGAGCTTTCTTTAATTTTATATTAAAAATTATTATCAAAAACACACAGATTATCATGTTACAATAGTGAATCGTCGCTGTATTTCGAGAAATCAGCATAGATTAATTTTGATAAAACAGTAAATGATTCATAGACAAAAAATAAATATTGAATGCAAGAAAATACTGAAACATGATAAATCGTGATCAACTATAAAATACATGGTTCAACGAATTATAAACATGTCTTTTTTCCGATTCCAATAAGAAACAGTTTCGATTCTGTACAGTTTTGTTATGGAAATCCATGGCGAGACCAAATTGATTTTATCGTTACAAAATTATAGCACAAAAAATTAAATTCTAAGCTTTTTATTTTGAAAATGTATAAATAATTACATAGTAATACCGCATAAAGAAATATACGCATTTTGTAAAATACATTATTAAATAATTATATAGGAAACGTGTCACAATACGATTCATGTCCCATTTCTCCCGTATATTTATATAGTTATCGCATTTTTGTTGCAGTAAATGCAATTATTAATATTAATCTATCTTTAGTATTTATTCTGAAATTATATAAATTTACGCAGATATGTCTTTATGAGAAAAGAGTTTTAAGATACAGGATATTTACAGCGCAAATAAAATTTAGAATTTATTTTAACAGTTTAAAATTGCAATTTTTTTGTTCTCCTTTTCGCTCTTTGATAAAGAGCGCACGATAGCACGATAATATTACATATGTATATCGATATACTTGAAGGGTTAATTTTAGTCAGGGTAACGCTTGTGTCCTCCTGCGAATAATCGACTCTTGTTAGCGATGGGAAGCGATCGTGTGAAAAATATTGTTGTATGAATTGAGACGTGAAAATTGTTTTGGTTAATGAAGATGCTAATAGTATTACGAAAAATAATTTTGCGAAAATTCTGATTAAATAATTTGTTTTACAGATTTATATTATTAATGCAAAAAATATTATGTTCTTATTAATTTTTTTACACTCTTTTACATATGTTTAATACATAATAAAGTGTTATTTTCCAGTATTTTTTAGTGCATCAATTAGATTATGACAATATACCTCCGCATTCTCTTACATTTTTTACAAGCATTTATAACGCTAAACTACATAATATGTTATTTCAATGTTTATATTTTAAGTTGTCGCGCTATGTCTATATTTTTAATATAATAATTTATACATAATAATTAATATAACAATAGAGATTAATAAAAAAGGCATTAAACCAAGATTAAAGATACTTCAATAATCTTACGAAGCATACGACATTATTTTTTTTGTATGCATAATTATTTATAATTTTAATTAATAATTTATAATTTCAATTAATATATGATTATATAACAGCGACAGATAGACGTGTGAAGTATGCGTAGTAAATGTAGGCTATTACCAGTAGGACCGTTTAACTGTAACTGCATGCAAGCCAATAAGTAGATGTGGGTTACTGACAATGAGATTTCTCACAAATGTCGCGGCAAATAATGTCTGTTATCTCTATATCAACTTTGCATATTGTAATTTGGCTTGTTTTCAGTAACTGAGAGAAGATTTTCATATTCTTTGTATAGATATATACTATAATATATCTATCTATATATTGCTGTCGTATAGAAGCGGCATTGTACATTATTTTCTATACAAAACAAATAAATATTTACATAATTTTCTTTCCTATTAGTTTTCTCACAATTGTTGCAATATTATTATAGCGCTTTTTATTTGAATTATAATCGATTATTAATATATATATATATATATATACTATTTTCAAAACATGTAAATAATTAAATATATATATATATATATATATATATTTTACATATGAATGTGTGTATGTACGCGCAAATATATAATATTCGCGTGAATTATACAATTTATTTACTTTGACGATCCTTATTAGAGAAGTTTTAATATTCTGAATCATGTGCCCATAATACGATTCGTATAATGTTCAATAATGTATGATTGAATCATATTCATCGCAAAGAGAAAAATATACTTAAACACGTGTTAACTATTTTTAGAAATGAGTTAAATATCTCGAATCGCTCTTCTTCTTAGATTACTGTTAATTATTTGTTTATTACAATAAAAATAAGAATCAACATTATTTTGAAAATCATAGAATAAATAAGATATTCATATATAAATTTTTGATATTTTTGAGAGAAATAAGTAAATAATAAATAGAGAGAGGGAGAGAGAAAAAATGCGATTATTTTAATTTTATTTAAAAATAACATATATATATTCTTCTGTTGACTTCTATATAAAAATTGAAAGGGCTGCTTGGAAACCACAGGAAATATAACAGTTTGATCGATATTGAGAACTATTTGTAGCTAAACTGTCCTGAGAACGGCTATTATATGTCGTTACAAGAACGATGTTGAAGAAAGTGATCAAATACCAATCGAGTTGGATTCTGCAAGACGAAAATATCGAAAATGTGGAGCACGTTAACCTTGCTCCCGAAGTTCAGCGAGAACTAGGTTGTTTGGTCGGCGAGCATGTATTTCTCGAATATCCTTGGGCTTATATATCACGAGAAACTGTTTTGAGATTCGCCAATGTAGTGGGTTCATCGCTGGAGTTATATCGAAATAAAATTGAAACTTATAGTAGCGATACTTTCCTCATAGGATATTCATCTACTCAACTGATTGCTTGCGACTTTGTCATCTGCTTAACGGAGAATGCAAAATTAGCGATAGTGAAAAGAAATTCTGACATCAGCAAGAAAATCCGGAGTGAAATTATTCAGAAGATCAGAAAGACCGGCAGATCCTGGAAGTCCCTCGGAAGTGAGACGACGTTAAATGAGAGTATAATAAAAAATATGAGAGAATTCTTTGAGATGCAAGTATGCTTTCCAATCAAGTCTTTGGGTTTGAATCGAAACCTCTGTGACAGATCATCAAAAAAATCTTGGGATAGCTATATAGAATTAATTCCATACGAGAGATTCGAAAATATCAAGAAGAAATGCATTTCTAAGATGATCCAAACGCACTTCGAACCTCGAGAAATCCATGTACAAACTTATCCCGGTTATCCCAAGAACGCCTGGACTCAATATGTTTACGAAGATACTCTAAGACCGGATGTTGATAATAATGAATTCGAAGAAGAAGAAGAAAAAGAATCAGCTGAGAGGAAATCAGAGGAGGTTGAAGAGAAGAGAGAGAGTGAAGAATCTAGAGAATTTGATATCAAGGTAGAGGAACAAAAGCCAGTGGAGAATAAAAATTTATTGGCGCTTTTTTTAAAAGATTACGCGCAAATAATGATCGATGCCGTGTGCTATAACACAGTCGTTAATGTGCATATAGACGATATCGAAACGCTTACAAGACAAAAGATAACTCGGCTGCGAGATGAGATTATTTACGAGGAACGATTCTCCCTTATCGACTTGCGCTTGACGATAGGGAAAATTATCTCCGATGTTTCCTGGCATCCGTGTTTCACCGATTATGTGGCTATTTCCTACATTACTATACCGTCGCACAAAGTTACCCGATTCTCGTCGGATATCGAATATAACTTTGTATCAAAAACGGAACCGATAGTGTTGATATGGTCTCTTATCGATTCTCTTCGGCCACAGCTGTTATTACAATGCGACCGGGAAATTTACTCTATCTCCTTTTGTCCGACAAACAGTGATTTTGTAATCGGCGGTTCTGCATCGGGCCAAGTAATCGTTTGGAATATTCACGAACAAATACAAAATCGAGCAAACGTCAAGCTGAAATTTTCGATTCAAGACGTTGTACCAGTAGCGATAATGTCTGATCAAGATCATTCACACGAGCTGCCAATTCGTCAGATACAATGGCTCCCTAATAATTACAGGATAGAGCCATCCGGAAAATTAACGAAATTGTCCACTTGTTCGAGTTGTCAATTTATGACGATTTCTGAGGACGGTACCGTTGCCATTTGGGATCTTATGAGATACTCAATTATCTCTCAGCTAAAGCCAAATGATTGCAAAGATCTTGATGAACTGTTCCGACCGACGTATCGTTTGAATGTTCGATCTTATAATTCATTTTTTACACCTCTTTATTTGTGTCTTCCATCACTCAGTGCTTTTCAAGAAAGCGATAAGCGTCAAGATGAATTGGATTTGACGGATAAAAATCACATAAAAAGATTGTGGATTGGCACGGCGCAGGGGCATTTTGCTTGCTGCACCTGGGAAAGTCAGGTGTTTGAAACGGAAACGTCCGGTATAGATGAGTGCAAGTTTTTAGATTGCACTTCCGCACACGATGGTCCCGTTGCAGCGATTCTACGATCGCCGTATTTTTCAGATATTCTGCTGACAATGGGCGGTCACGTTTTTGCTATTTGGAAAGACGACTACTTAAATTTACCAGTGTTTAGACGAAAATCTGATTGCGTGTATACTGCATGTTGCTGGAGTAATCGTCCAGGAACTTTTTTGATGGGTACTAATTTAGGCGAACTGGAAGTTTGGGATATCGAAAGGAGGGCAAACAAACCAGTGCTTAAGCAGACTATTTCCAAAGAACCGATAACTCTTTTGTCACTTCGCAAATTGTGTAAGCAAAATTGTAAACTGATCGGTGCTGGTGATTGCAACAGCGCTTTTCGTATGTTTGAGGAATCAACGGAAATTAAGGATGATATACTTGAAAAGGTGGACTGGTTTGAAGAATACGTATGGAGGGAAGTAAGAAGAAAAAAAATGTTTTCTTCGTGGCAGAAAGATTTTCTCCAAAATGATGCAATCATCGTTGCTAAAAGGCAAGCGAGAATAGACGAGGAACGCAGGTTAAAATTGGAAATGACAAGGATAAAACTTCATAGAGAGCATGAGGAACGATTAAGATTGGAAGCTGAAGAGAAAATACGTAAAGTGCCAAAATCCAAAGACATTATATGGAAACTGCGTCAGCAAGCAAGAATGAAGAAAGTCCTTTTACAGAAGAAGAAATTTGTACCACAAAAATTAAAAGAAAAAAGATTACCGCTAATTTGTTTAACTGAAGAGAGAAATCTAAAAATGAATAAAGCAAGGAACGAAGTTGCGTTTCAAGACAAGTATTTTCACAATATTGTTTCCCTCGAATTCTCTGATTACGATCATGATTTAGAAGAAGGAGAAATCTCAAAACAAAGACATAAAATGGTAGAGAACGAAAAGATAATTAATATATATTTGCAAGAATTTTATAAAATTAGAGATGAAACGCGAAAGATAATGGCGGAGAAACCTGTTTTAAATTTTGATTGGAACACTTGTGTAAAGAAAGAAAAGAAAAGGTTGCAAAATGTGAAAAATTCATAAATACAAGTGTCAAACTTGAAAAAGTTTCTTAAGAGAAGTGATCTTTTTGCCTAATAAATTTATATTGTGTAAATTGAGATAAGATGAGATAATCGAAAGGGTTGGAAAGTTTTTTGAGAGATGCTAATTGTATATATATAACTCTTATTAGATATGACTAATTACATACAAACACACATATATATATATATATATATATATATATATATATAGATATGTACATATGTATATCTTGCAATAAATATAAAATCTGTTACGTTGTGTGTATTTAAATCGTGATTAATTTAATCTAATTAAAATAGACATTAAATAAGAAGGTAAAATATATAGAATAAGATAAAATGTTAAAACAGAATACAAATTAATTTATATACAGAAGAAGTAAATTAATTTTTTTTAAATTAAAAAAAACAAATTTTGTGCGCAAAATAAATTTTTTATTCTGACAATTTAATTTAATGAAATCGGCTTAATTTATATAATGTAATATAAAGTCGTCTAATAAGAGGCAATTGTTTTGTTAATCAAATAAATAAATAAATAAATGTGTGTACAACAAATGTAAAATAAGTTTTTTCAACAATTATCATATTTTACTTTAATTTTAACATGTTTTTAGAAAATTTTATTTTTATCAAAACAAATTTTAAATATAGATAATCACCGCATTTATTTTAAGTGTATATATGTATATTCAAATTTAATTATGTGGAAAGAATGCAGATGTTGATTTTCATTACTTAAACAAAAAATTATGCATTAGGAATTATTAAAAATATTTCTTTTGTTAAATTAGCTATGCAATATGAATAATGGAAGTTATATGATACATTTTCCAGGCTCTGGGTATAATATGTATGGCATGTGCATCTCCGGCGTATATAGGCGCAACACATTGGTTTCTGTTCGTTGCAGTAATATCTTTCATATCTACACTCATATGGTGCGCTGTGTACTTTCTGTCTCTCCGGGAAGTACTTAAAATACCTATCAACTGGATCTTAACTGTAAGTGGAAGTTGAAAAAATATTGTAAAATTGTGCAAAATGTGCAGCCTCGAAACTTTTCTTTGCTCAATATTCTATATATAATATGTTTTATTTTATTCAAAAATTTACTCTTATATTTAATTTATTTATTTGATTTTTATTGGAAAAAAATAATTTAATCTTTTAAGGATTTCTGAGAATATATTGATGTATTTTTTAAAAATGTGCATGATGTTTTTTATTTATATCTTAATGGTTTTTCTTATATGAAAAAATATAATTTAAATTGTATATATATACATATATATGTATATATTTGAAAATTAATTTTAAGGAGTGTGATAAAGCCATGTATGTTTAATCCTACAAAATAATTAATTTTTTTCAGGAACTTCTAAATACATCTTTAAAAGCCGTACTTTACATGATTGCATTCATCGCCCAGCTGTCGGCTTGGACGGCTTACAGAACTTCATCATCAAATATCGCTGCTGGAGTGAGACTCATTATTGAAATATTAATAGTTAAAAAGAATAATTATTATTATTTTTTAAATATATGCATTCAACATTATTTATAGATATTTGGAATCTTTAATACCATTGCATACGCCGCTGGGGCTTATTTCTTATACATCGAATGGAAAAGTACTAATACACAATGAATATCGTCAGCCTGCAGAGAAGCCAGGTATTTGAAAAGCAACATCAAGAATTGCCATAACCGTGACTTCTCACCACCTGTTTATAAAGGTTTTGGCATACTAAGATTGTGCTCGACAGGAACGTTAGCGCTGGAAGAGGTGGCTTAAAACTAGTCCGGCATGATCCTTTTCAGATCGCGTGTTCAGCTTAAAGAAAGACTATTATACAATGTGCCTTAAGATTATATATTTTTTGAGATTTTCATCGTTAGAAATCCAGTACCGCTTTGAAAAGGATCAATCAAATCATACGAACGAATAAAGTGTGTTGCGCATTCAAGATACCGTATATCCGACGACAATTACATATATAAAAAACTCGTGAAATTTTGTAGATCATATTGAACACGCGAATCTATAATTTTATTAAAACTGATATATAACAAATAAGTGAAACTTACTTTTTTTTAATTCAATTTCGAATGAACAGAATAAAAAGAAAAATATTTCATATAAAAATTGCAATATTTCTATTTAGCATTATTAGTTAAATACTATATATATATATATATATATATATATATATATATATATTATAATTATATTGTATATTAATATAGATATATATATATATATATATATATATATCTCTTTAGGTAAGGTACACATATTACAAATACTAAATTATATTTTATAACAAATAATACATTATTCAATTTTTCATACAAATGCTATTGTACTTTTGTTTTTATTAATATTTACTCGAAATTTATAATTACATATACATATATAATATATGTATAAGGATATTTAATTATTATTTTATTATATAATAAATAGCATTTATAGTACCTAATATAATAGATAAATTTAATTTTGTTAAATATTTTTTAAACAAAATTTTTGTCAAATTGTTTGTGAAGCATATTTCAGTTGTATTTTGATTTTCGATATAATCCTCCAGACAACAATGAAATAAAATAGTTTTAAAAGGCCTCATATCAATATACAATGAATTTTCAAAGCGATATAAGTTGCTTTCACACAATTAATATAAATTAATAAAGACTCAATGCTTAATTTTTTCTAAAATTATTTAGGCGATTATTGTATCCATATTTTGGATAGCTATTTTGTTAGCAATTTCGACAAGTATCAATTTATAAATTTTTGTTAATTTCAATGCATTAATTTTTTGTGTATTTAATAAACATGTAAAATTCTAAAAATTTTTTAAAATATTTTTTTATTTTTTTATACTTATGCGCGCTATATTGCAAGAAAGATTATGTTTATATACAATATATGTATTTTTTATACATGTATATATATATATATATATATGTGTGTGTGTGTGTGTATGTAAATAAGATACATATACACAATATTATGTATTCATGTTCTTTAGATTAGATGTAGTATAACTATTCTTTTGTTTTTTCTCATTTACATGTAAATCATAAGCCTCAAATGCACGTTAAATACACATAAGAGTTTAGTAAATCGAAAAATAGGATATTTTTAATATTGTGCAAAATTAGTATTTAAATAAATAAACAAATAATGTTTATTAAAAAACTATATTTTTTATAATAAACTTAACATGAATTGCAAAAGATATTAAAACAGTAGAGAAACAGTAACGTTCTAAATAATCTCGCTTACACAATTATCAAAATAATTCAGTTCCGTTTATAAATTATTTAAAATAAACAATAGATATTTTATTTGGCATTTTTAACTTTATATTTGTCATTTTTTATTCACAATAACAAGAATTTATATTTTTTTAATTTTTATTTTTTGCTTAAGAAATTTTTAAGAAAACAATTTTTGTATAAAAACTTAATTCTTAAATTCAGATTTGTTTGATTTTACAAAAAATAAAATTTTTAAAAGTTTGCTCCGATATTAAAAATGTTTTATTTTTCAATTTATGTTATATATTTTAATATATATTTATTTAGATTCTTATAATTCGTCTTGGTTTGACAGGATCAATTATGGATATATATTATATGTATATTACTCTATATTTTTTATATTTTATGCAGAGACAAGATATTTATACACGTTAAACTCTTTATATACATATATATATCTCTCAAGAAAGTCTGTGAGATAATTCCGAATTATATGTCGCGTAATTCATTATAGCTGATTAACTCAAGTAAACATTACGTATAAAATTATGCTACTTTTTTCTTATTATTATAAGTGTTGATGGAGTAATTTATTTGTTTATCTCTTCTATTTACTCATTGCGTTCCTCGAATGAAGGAAAGGCTATATATAGACATATGTATTTTTTATTTTTAAGAAATTATATTTCAATATTGTTGTTGTTTGTTTATTGTATAGCATTATTTTCAGTATTGTAACTCTGTAATTTTTGATGAATGTGTCTTTACCCATGTTAACATATGTTAAAATACATGCATAATGGCATACAATGGTAGAGACATCATGTCGTTTAAAGTTACCCAGATAGCCACAGTAATTATTATGACATCATTTTGATGTCAAAATGCATCATTTTGATGGCAAATGATGCATTTTGACATCAAAATGATGTCATAATAATTACTGTGGCTATCTGGGTAATAGAATTGTAGTACACAGACATTATATTTGATTTCCATATACATATATATGTAGTATTCATTACACACACACATACATTTGATACGCGCACGTGAGTGTGTGTAGAAAAATTTGTGCGTTTTTTTAGACGTTTTTAAAATTTTTAAATCTGAAATTTTATTTATTTTTTTTAACTATAAACGCTAAATAAAGTACGCAACGACATATTATCATATTTGGATGTGTTTTATTATATTAACATTAATGTATAAAATATTAAAAAAAAATTTTTTTTTTTTTTACTATTGCATGTTTAATTTTTTAAAATTGTTTCCATATAGTAGGTTATTGGTTTCTGATAAACGCAGTTAAAAATTATACGTAAAATATAAGATATAAAACAATGTGTTGTAATGTTTGATAAATTTGTTCCATGTTTTCACATTTCTTATTTTCACTTTTATTACTTTTCATATAAGTATATGTATTATCTATGTGTGCGGGTGTATGATATCATCAGTGACGTCATGTTTTAGTATACTATACTAAAAGCAGCGCTTCAGTCAATCGCTGACAGTCAATGTACAACAACGCGTTTTCTTCAGGTTAGTACAATTCTTTCGCATGGTGTGTTTCATGTTGTTTTTAATGTTATCTTAAAATTTATGTTATTATAATCTTATTATAAACATGCATTTAACTGTTTATTTTGAAAGAGGAAGAGAAAGAGAGAGAGAGAGAGAGAGAGAGAGAGAGAAATTATTTTTTTTATAATGTTTCATATAATATTATGTCTTATATATTAAACATAATATTACAACTATTATTTAAAAATTATAATTAGCTAATAATTGCGCTAAGCTCCTGCAAATATATTGCAGTATTATATCATAAAATTATATTTTTAAATAAAATGCTTATATATATAGTCAAAAAAGAGCAAAAGCTTCTTATTATCAATCATTATTAATTTTTTTATATTTTTATAAATTATAAAGAAAATACTGACATAATGATACGATTTATTTGATATTATATAATTATTATATGATATATGCAATATGTTAGATTAGATAAATATATATATTGCCTCATATTTGATCAATTTTATCTCATTTAATATTCAATCAATTTTCTCAATATTAATAAAAAGGGCGAAAACTAATTAAACTATAGTTTAAACTTAATATATAGACTGAATAATATTTGAAAATAATATAGGACTTGTTAATTTATAATATATAATATATAATATAATAAATAAATGCATATGCATGTACAATAATAAAATAGACGAGCAAAAATATTGTTAGACTGATAAAATATAATCAGCGGCGATTATATGAAAGATAATTCTGTAATATCTTTGTGTTTGAGTAAACATTAAATGAGAATTTATCGAATTGATAGGTACAATTTTGACTCGCACCTTATACGTAATTCCCTCGTGTTCTGAGAACACTGTTCTGGATATTTAAAAATAACCCATGACTCTATACAAGTACTTTTATATATACATATATATATATATATATGTGTGTGTGCATATTCGCTCTTCCCTTTTAGCTTTCTGTCGATATTCCGTTATAATTTTGCATTTTTCTTGATTATCTCATCGATTTAATAATTCTCAATAGTGTAATCACTATCTCTTTCAATAGAATACATCTCTATTTCTGTGTTATTTTTATAAAATTTATAAAATTTTAATAAGTTTTATAAAATTCTTTTTTCAAAATATGCACATGTAGTTTGGCGAAATTGCAATCACATTATATAAGAACACATATACATATTTGCAATTAAAAATTTAATTTTATTGACTTTAATCTTGCTTATTTATAATACTAGACAACACAAGCGCGCGCCATTGATTTTATGTGCTGTGATTTAATATTATTTTGAATAACTATCAAATTATTAACCTTTGCATTGACAGTCGTTCAATGCTACAAATATAACACACAACGTAAATCGAAACAACTAATCAGCAATCCCGAAAAGCGGCAACAATACATGCAAGAATCGACTTTGCACGCCTTTTTTACAAAAAGAAAGGATTAATCTTAATAAGGAATAATATTATTTATATTACATTTTTTTAAAAACATTTGTTGCATACACGTATACACATGTATCGTATTATTATTTATTTAAGAAAAACAGATTATTGTTATTTTTCGTAATATACATATATATACAATATATAAAATTTATGTTTACTTATTTATTTCTCTCACACTCGATTTTATATATTCATGAAAAGAAAAGCAATTGTATATATTATGTTTATATATATATATATATATATATATATATATATATTCTTTATTATTTATTTTATATATGTATACTCTTATTACTTATTTATTTTATATATTACTTATTTATTTTATATACGTATACGTATATATAATATTTAAAGATAAATATATATATTGCATATATATTAATGCAAAATTTGAGAAGAAAAGTGAAAGGAGTTATGATATTTCCATTTTCTAAAGACGAGCAGTAAAAACATCTTTGCTCGATATAAGTTATATCTTGAAAACTTGACATTGTCATACTTGACCTACTTACTATACATCATCAGTGTCTTCATTTGTGTGTATGTATGTGTTTGTGTGTGTGTGTTAAATAAAATAAATCTTGATTGATAACGATAAATGTATAATATATATAAACTAATTATCTTTATAACTTTCTTTTAGAATTGACGTTAAAATAAGGCAGTAATGGCGCATTCTGTGACAATTAGAACACAAACAGTGACGACCAGTTCGTCGACCATTGTCGTCAACACTGGTTATTTAAAAAGTTGGAACGGTATTTTAAAGGTCCTACAATTGGTATGCACTTTTATTAATGCATTTATTTCTTCACTTTGATTATCCTCATTATGATATTTTTATCAAGTAAAATATTTATTATACACTCACCCGCAAAAACAAATAGGCTACCAAAGATTAGAATAATTTTTTGACATCTTCAAATAGCGGTAATTCAATAAAAAAAACATGTTTTTCAAGAAATATGTATGGTACGCTTTTTTAGGATTAATTTTAAACTTGGCTTTTATTTAAAAAGAAATATGCTTATTATCGGCATTCTTTTTGTTTATTATTGGCAAAAAATTTAAGATTTTTATTTTTTAAAATTTTTTAATTTCTAAAAAAATCTTAAATTTTTGAAAAAAATTTTTACGATTTGGTTCTGAATTGCAGATTTTATAAGAAAAAGTCTATTTTGTAACATTTTCTCTTTAAGATGGTATAACTTTATCAAAAAAAGTTGTAGAAAAAATATTTAAAATATGAATTTGTTACGAAAAATAAATGAGTTTAAAGATTTATATATTTTTGTATAAAGGAACCGATTTCCTTAAACTATGCAAAATTAAAAAAATATATTTTTCCCCATTGCTTAACATCTATTTGCAACGTCCGTCATTTTGTAAAACATTTCTTGCTTAATTCAATCTTTTGAGTTATTAATAGAAATGTTCAAACTTTTTAATTTAAGCTTTGATTCATCTTAATACGATATATTTTTATACTGAGTTATCACAATTGAAAGATGTTAAAAAAATGTGCTATAGTTTATAACTTCTATTTTTTTCTATCTATTTATTTTTTGCAGGCAAATAATTTAATTAATTAATAATAAACTATTTTCTAACAATATTACAATATACTATAATATATATAATTCTAAACGCAAATAATTTCAAAGTTTAACAATTTATTTTGCCGCGTGCACATTTTAATTAACAATAAAATAAATATTTGATACGTTTAAATAAAGGAATCAATAACATTGTAAATTTAATATACATAATTTATAAAAGATATTCAGAAAATCTTGTAATCTTTTTGAGTAGTATTACTTATCGCATTGTGCGGTAACATCCGCTTTTAGTTATAATCGCACATATGTATCTACTTACGATAATAGTATCAGTAACGTAAATTTTATTATTTTAAATATAATTTTAAATATATTTTTAAATATTTAAAATATATGTATAAAATAATTATATTTTTATATTGATATATTTTGTTAATTTCATATATATATATATATATATATATATATATATATATATATGTATATCTATATTAGCAATTAAAATTATTATTATTAATAGGTATATTTAGTATCTACTTTATCAAAACCTTTATATTTATTTTTAAAATAAATAAATCAATATTATTCATTTCATTGATATTTCTATCTTATTTTCAACAGGCGTTGGGTATAGTTTGCGTAGGCATTATTGGTAGCGAATTTAATTCTTATTATATTCGATCTACGGCCGAGTGTTTCTTTCTTCTCATAACGACTACTTTTATGATTGGCACTTTCATCCTTGTTCTTAGTTGTTTGATATCCCTTTCTACTGCATCTATTTTATCTAAAACGATCTACGTAAGTAAAAATTGTATTCTATATTTCTGGCTTGTACATTTTATATAAAGAATTATCTCCATTTGGCTTGTACTACCATTTATGATACATTTTGCATAAGTATATTCCATACACACATTGAGCATGTATATAAAAATTATACCTATTACATTTTGTTTAATTTATTAGAATACTTATACAGGACATCCGGTAATAATACCCCATCATGTGCAGGTAGAGCGGGTTAAACCATGCCGGAAAGTCTTTTATCATTTTGCAACCTTCACAATAATTAACGAAAAATTAATTAAAAAGATTACCTAATTCGCGCGTCTACAAGCGCGTAAAGACCATGTAACACTGGCCGATATTTTTTAATTGATTCCTCATTAATTATTGTGAAGATCGCAAAATGGTAGAGAACTTTTCTACTTGTTCTATCTGCACACATCGGGTAGAGTGATATTTACCGGACATCCTGTATATGACTCAATAAATCAAAAACAATTGTTAAGAAACAAATGTTAAATTGCGTTAAAATTTGTTTAAATAACATCGAAAAGATGAAATTTAAGAAACAATTGTTTCAAGAATTTATTATGCAACATTATGCTTATATTAATATCAAAGATTTTGAACTTTTAGGAACTCCTTTATCATGCCATTGCATTTGGATTATTATTTGCGGCCTCATTGACACTATTGGTATACGCCAATAATTATAAGCGGGTTTTAAATTCCTACGAATTGTTATTAGGTGCATCCGTAAGTATAATATTATATTCGTAAAAATTCAAATTCTTAATTAATGCGAGAAATGAAAATTGGGATAGTATAGAATATAGAGCAATTATAATAATAATAATTTTTTTTGGATTCTCAATTTATACATTACAAATTATAAAGTGTCACAAATTTCATAAATTAGCTTCTGTGTATAAATTTTCAACTCTAAAATCATAATAGATGAATCATAGATTTGTGCATATTTCTGTATATTTATTATATGTTAAATTTATATTTTATATAAATTTAGTGTATATATAAATGTAAATTTAAAACAAATATACATACATATATAACAAATAAAACAAATATATACATATATGAAATAATGTTACATTTAAAATGTTATATTAAATTGTATTGTAGAAATAATTTGTTGATTTTTAGATTTGCGGTCTAATAAACGCCGGTATATATCTCTTCAGCATGATTCTTGCTCTTCGCATTTATAGAGGGTTCTAAATGTTTAAATTATCGCAATATTTTTAAAAGTGAAAACAAATGACTCTCATTGCGTTTGGTTTTTAAATTTGTATATTGTATTTGTATTTAAATATTGTAAGAATTTTATTTAAATTAATGTGCATATTTAATATAAACTCCATATATATAGTATAAATTTTAAATATCTATTATAAACTTTTAATATCTAATGTCGATTAAGAATATTTGATATTTGGCGGATTTTGAGAAAAATAACGAAGAATATTCCTCTATTTTATATATTTTATAAATCTTTAAAATAGCATTTTTACATTTTTCATGATAATTTGTACGATAATCATATTGATTTGTAAATTAAATTATAAATTATAAATATTCATTAAAAATATTTAGTTATTATTTTAATAGTAATTATTTCAATTATATGTAAAAGAATTTATACAATCGAAACATTATTTCTTTCCCCTCATAACACACATAAATAATTAGAAATATATTATATCTATTTACATATTATCTCAATCAATCATTATTTGAATTTCTTATTGCATATATATACCCAGCTAACCATTTGCTTGGAAATTGTTAACAATCGAGAAACAAAATACCACCAAATATGGTTGCAAATCCAGGGCCTACTGTGTTCTTGAGTGCGCTCCAATTGCAATCAAAAGTTGAAAGTATATCCTAACATCAAGTTGGGTGCAACGCCAGAGCAGATCTGTCACTAACAGTGCGACGACAGATTGGCAACAGACTGGGAACAAATTTGTCAATCGTAAATTGAGGACAGATTTGCGCCAAATGCTCAGCAAATCGAAGAAAAATCCTAGATCTGAATAAGGATCTGCTGCATTTTTGGCATCAATCTGTTGTCAACACTTTCGACAGATCTGCTTGCTACTCATTGCCACTTTGTTAATATAGTCTGCTAACAGATTGGGAAATATTTACTGAATTTATACAGTGTTTGTAATGACAAAATATGTTTCTTATCTGCGGCCATTTTACAAAACAAAAGTTGTTGCTTACATTTGCCTCCGCAGAAATGATTAGCTGGGTATATACATATATAATATATACATATATTTATATTACGATACATATATTTATATTACTATACTTGTGATTGCGATTCTTACAATTATTACATATTTATATACATTAAAAAAAAGTTAACTTGACTAAATAGTTCAACTATTTACTATTTTGTTATAATTGAACACATACAGAAGTATTTAAATTATAATAAATACAACATATTAAATATAATATTACATAGTTTATTTAAATATTTATATATATATATATATATATATATATATATATATATAATTAATACAATAGTAATTAGTTACACGCATTTAGTCAATTTAACAACTTTTTCTCTCACTGTACTAAATGTAAATATATTTATTTTATGTGTACTTAATATTTATGTCTGCTAAATATACTAATATCATCGAAACTATAATCTTACATACTCAATTAATTTTTTTATTAAAATTTAAATAGAAGGTTGAACAAATTTGATTGGTAATTACAAACTAATCAATTATAGATTCGGATTATATTATTGTGTTATTATTTTTTCTCTGCACATCTATAAATTATTAAAGATGACACAAATTATTTTAACTTTATTAGAATAATAAAAGCACGCGCTATGTGCGCGCCATTTCTCACTTATGTATTAATTTTTAATACATTAGAATTTGCCAAAATACATTTTTCCTAATGTTAGTATTATTTTTCCTAATATTGGTTTTATTTTTCATAATATTAGTTTTGTTTTTCTTAATATTAATATTATTTTTCCTAATATTAGTATTATTTATCCTCAGGTTAATTTTACTTTTTCTCAAGTTAGTTTTAGTTTTCCTAATATTAGTTCTTAATATTAGTTAGTTGAAAAAAAAGAAGTAACTGCAGTAATTCCCTCCCAAAAATAAAAAAAATTTTATTACCTATTTGTTCGAGACACCATGTAGGCGAAAAAGAAAATGTTTGTTCTCAGAATAGCAGATGAAGAGAATTGACGTCGTTTGAATTTTTCGACACTCGTTAGAATCGTTGCTCGAATGCCGCATTATTAAAAATTAAAATTTAATCTATATTTATAGAATAAATTATACATCACAAATTCGAGAGAAATTGAAAAAATGCAAATTACAGAAATGTTGAATTTGATTCTATTTAAATTTTCTGCAATCGGGATTGTTTTGCTATCGCAAACTAAACCTTTATTGTGAAATATCTGATTTGAATACAATATTGTATAATAACATTTTTGAATAAATATAATTAAGCTGAATATATATTATGTAAAAATCCGTATAATTATTTAAATGCAGATCACTAAAAATTTTTTTTATTTTCGGGAGGGAATTACTGCAATGATTTCTCTTTTTTCAATTAGCTAATATTAAAAACTAATATTAGGAAAAATTAATATTATAAAAAAACTAACCTGAGGAAAAGTAAAATTAACCCCAGGAAAAATAATATTAATTTATATATGGAACTTAGTAATCTCAAACCAAGAGATACAGTTCCGAAGAATTCATTTTTCGCGCTTGGGTTCTATTAACCGATTTAAAATATCATATATTATTATTAAGATTGAGAACCGATAAAATATTTCTCATTTAATAATATTAATATTAGGAAAATTAAAATTATAAAAAAAATTTAATAAAATTATGTACACAATAGAAATTCAGCGAATTAAAATTATTTGCATAAAAGAAATACGACAAATTAAAATTTTGTGCATAGTAGAAATTCAGCAAATTAAAATTACACACATAAATTATGCACTTTTTTATTTCTTCTTACATAGCTAAAAATATACATACAATATATATTAAAATTTTTTATATTTGATTTATATTGCATTAGCTTATTAAAATTTTTTACATTTAAATTATAATAAAATATCAATTATTTTCTTGATATTGATAATAAAGAAATTATGTAAATAAAAATTACAAACATAATTATACATAAAATTTTGAGAAATACGAGCACGTACTTGTGTTTACTCATATATTGTAAGAGAAAAACAAATAAAATAAAATAAACTAAATAATAATAAAATTATAATAATATATGAAAGATATTTAATATTATTATCTTATTTTTTTCGAATGCTTTGTGTTTCTTCTTGCTGTACAGTCAACAGACAAAACATTCAGTCTTTGTAGCATGAGCCAGAAATAGATGGCAATTTCCCTTGCGTCGAATGCTATACGGGGGGTTGGAACACATTTAAACTGTGTAGATGCATATGCCTACATTCTCAGTCTGTTTAAAGCTATCGTTGAACGCAGTCGTTCTTTGTTTTTCTAAAAAATTCTCTCAGGAAGAACAAAAAATTTTACAATTTACAAAAATTTTTATGTAAGTATGTACAATATAATTTTTTAAAATTATTTTTTAATGCGTCTAAAACTGTTGATTAATCAGCTTTTTATATGTTTAAGTTTGATTTAACATCATTAATTTTAAAAAATTGTCTTTGTACATATGTGTAGATATATTTGATAAAAATATCTACGCATTTTATTGCGTATAAAATTCTATTGTGTATATAAAATATAAAAAAAGTTATCTAAAAAGATGATTTTTATAAATAAAAATAAACAATTCTAATGGTAAAAAGTCAATTTTTTAGAGAGATTTTTAGTAATAAAGTTAATTTTTTAGAGAGAAAGAAAGCATGTAAATATTTAGTGTAAAAGGAGTTAATTAAAAAATACCTATTTATATGAACAAGACAGTTTAATGAGTGTGATTTAAAATACACAAACGAGTATTAAATTAATTTGTTTGTGATATAGAATCATGGGTATAAATAATGCCGGACCGGTGATTAGGATGCCATCTTCTAGTACATACAGTGCAGGCGGTGTCAGTTGCTGCTGTTTCAGATGTTGCACGTGCATACATATAGAATTCTTGAAATCATTACCTGGAATTGTAAAAATTTGCGAAACGGTAAGTAATTACAATGACATGTACATTATCTAATATATGTACAATTTGAGAAAAAAAACATAAGAAAAGATCACAGACTTCTATATATAGAAGTCTGTGGAAACGATTGTATAGCTATATGTAATAAAAATTTGATTATGTATATATATATATATATATATATATATATTCATTTGCTTAAATTATTTTATCTTTCTTTCAGATTGCTCGTTATTGCTTATCATAAAATTTCTCATAGATATTTATTATCCTATAATGTTAATATAATTATATATATAAATATAATATATACTAATATATACATATATTATAAATATAATATATATATATATATATATATATATATATGTATATACTATATATGCATACGATATGCATACACATAATTTAATTTATTTAATTGTAGGTAATCAGTGGATTAATACAGAGCTTGCTTATCAATTATGGTCTGAAATATAGTTCATCTATTGGTTCGGCTTTTGAAGGATCACTGACCACGGCATCTGCTTGCTTCTTAACTTCTGCTCTGCTACTTGCTTGTTATACAATTTCTGAAAAGACTTACAGATTAATTCGTTCATCGTTGTTTGTATGTATATTTATTTATATAAACGATGTAACATATTATACTAAAAAGTAAATTCGCATTATTTTGAATATTTTATTCTCTTTATATTTCTGTTCTCTCATACGTATGTTTATATTATTACTTACGAGTATATCTGTGGAGAGGAAATATTATAATATTTATAAAATACATAATAAATATATGAAATAATTTTTTTTAATTCTTTAATTTTTACTAAAATTAGTATATTACATATTCTAGTAAAAATTATGTATATTACATATTCTTTTAATTAAATTTTAGGAGATAATGTTCAACTCTTTAGCCTGCTTCCTGTATTTAAGCTCAGCATCCTATTTAGCATTTGCTACAAAATTATTTTTAATGACTGAGTATTATGTGAGACCCGGTTTCGACGTTTATCCTGCTATGACAGCTGCTTACGTAAGTTAATTTTTAGACTAACGAATCATATTTAACGCTGTTACTAATTTGTGTTATTATTTATTTTTATAAATTTATGAGAGAAAGAATTATTATATAATATATAATTATATATCCAGGTAACAAATTAATATACAACTGGCTTCAAAAGATCGATGTTAGTTTATTGACGTTTCGACCATACATATTTTCTTAGTGTACGATTTTAATTGCCGAGTCATATTAATTTGTTACCCGGATTTTAATATTCCTGGCGAAGAGAAGTCTAATTTTTTATCCGTATAATTATATATATTATATAATTTTTGTCAAATAATCTTAAATATTTAATATGGCATATCTCTATGTTGAACAATAAAGCAAAAATTATATTAATAAAGAAAAATTAGTTTTAATTCTATGGAACTATAACATTTGATCATTCTTGATGGTCATTTGAAGGAATATTAAAAATGAGCCATCTGTATTGCAGATTTTAAGTGGTGTTATGGGAGTATTGCACGGAGCAGATGCATATTTATCCTTTGCGCATTACAAAAGTGGAAGATAAATTATGGTATAATATAATATGTCAATTGTACAATTTTGTGAAGAAAAGTAGCAATTATATATATAAATATTAATATTATATAAATATTAGACATTAAGATAAATGAACAACATAGGGAAATTTTTTATTATTTTTTATATGTCCATTAATGATAAATTTTTAATTATTAATAAACATAAAAAGCAGTATTCCAGTATTAGAATTAATAATACACACACATCGCACACACATACACATATATGTTTATATGCATCAATAAATTACATACATATTAGATAAATTAACACTATAAATTAACGCTATACAACTTTAAAATTGTATTATTCTTAATTACTTCATCGTTATTTGCATATTAATTTTTCAAATATAATGATTTTATTTAATTATGAATATCTACGATAAGTAGAGTTAAATTCTTATTTTGTTATTTAAATATATGTTATTCAATTTATTTACAATTTTGTTTGTCAATTACAAGTGTATGAATCACATGCTTACTAAATTAACAAATCTATTGAAATCTGATGCATCATAATGTACTACCATATTGTATATGTATTTTATTACATAAAAATAAATAACACACAATAAGAAATACGACAAATATTTATTAAAATTGATAGTTTGGCGTAATAATTTTATAAAATATTAATAAGTATTATTTTGTAAAAGCACTCAAAATTACTCCAACAGTTAGTAATAAAATATTTTATCACATGCCAAATAATATTTTATTTGTAATAAGTATAGTGCTATTTTTATATATTTTATTTTATATTAATATAAATTATATAAGTAACAATAGTTTATTTAATTTTCATAAAAACCATTATTAATTAATAATTATTTCAAATAATATATAAGATATTTAAAAAATAGTTATGTACAGAACACAATTAATTTATTCAATTAAATAAAATAAATGATTGTAATATTTACATCTGTAAATACAAGTCTATTAGATAAAGTTTTGCTTTTAAATTTATAACGATAGGTATAATTTTTTCTCTTTTGTCAGAGACTTTATACAAAAACTATCAGACACACCGCAAGCATTAGCTCGGTTCAATGTTATAAGAAGATATTTGGATCTTGCTAAAGTAATCTTGCTAAATGCTGAATGGGACCAAAAATTGCACGATCCTCTCGTGGATCTTATGTCTATCTACGTGATTATGATACTTCCGTAAGGTTTCTCTTTTCGCTCATCTTTCTTCCCTAGCTTCCTTTGAGAATTATGAACGAGCACTCTGTCTTACTTTTTAAATGTTTTCTTTCTCTCTCATGTCGCCTTCATTCTTCTTTCCGTTACTCTCTCTCTCTGACATCATTCGTCCTGCCTTTTTATCGCTCTCATTGATGCCTCGCTAAGTATATTATACGACTACTGTAGGCATGTGGTCGACAGTTTACCCTAAGATCTCGATCCGATTGACACGCGAAGTATCGAAACTATTCCGAATGTGCTTGCTTGCTTGTCTTTTGTCGATTTCTTTTCTCTTCGTTATATAGTATATATTGAACAAAAACGAGAAAAAGGTAACGCAAAGATGGAAACGTATGTGAGAAATATAAATGACAGCGTAAACATTACAACGACGGAAGGTAATGCTCCAGTATAATGATAAGAAATGTATAATATAAGTTTGATATGCATGTATAAGAATAATAAGAAGTATATAATAGAGAATATGCAATAGAATATTAAATTGTACTATTTAATGTGTTAAATAAAAACTTGATTATCTAAAATTATCTATATATAACTTGAAGCTTTGTGACTGTTTTAATAATGGAAATAAAGATATGTAGTTGTTTTGTTTTTTAAAATTTGCTAATACATATAAATAATGTAAATTAATGCTCCATTTTTATCTATAATATGAGTAATATCTAGTTGCTATATTATAGATATAATAAAGAAAATGAATATTCATCGTTACGTCGTTGCAGCATTCGTGTTAAACAGAAGAAATTATTTTAATCTAAATAATATAAATATTTATAAATATTTATCATAATATAAATATTATATTATAAATATCATAATATAAGTTTACAAAATATTTACTATACTTATTGAACATATATACCCGTCTTATTTTATAATAATATATTTTAAATATAATTACATTTTATTGACCTAATGTTAATAAGTTGTTAATAATATTTAATAATAATAACATAAAAAAATTTTAAATAAGCACGTGAAACTTATCATAGAGAGATTAAAACAGCGTTACTTTAGCTTGTATCAAACACAGATATGCAACATGCGGAAGAAACGCCTCTCATCTCAACTTGCTCGTCTCTGATTATCATACCATATCAGCACATAGAAATGTCTTTTTCTAGGAAATAAAATAATTTGACTAATCAGTGAAAGAAGCTGCTGAGTTGACACTAGTGGCATTATTGCGTTTTATATACGTATTATAATGTTTTTATTAATTTTTAGTTTGCAAGAAAAATATATTTAAAATAAAAATAAGTATTAAAAATACCACTTAAATGGAAATATAAAATAATTTTTGAAAAATATTTTAAATTCGATATAAGCGGGCTTCTACATTTAAATATATTTTAAATATAAAATACCAGATATATACATTTTACATTTTGTATTTCTATTTTAAATGCATTTATTTCAAATAATGCATATCTCTGTATTAGTAGGTACATAGCATATACATATACGTGTATTTACAAATATCCATGATTACGTAAAAAATATTTTTCCTTATCCATTACATTACATTATTAAATCTTTGACGTTCAGTCATTGGCATGTTTTCCTATCTCTGCGTATATTGAATTTTATTATTACATATAGTTTATACGATCATAAAAAAGGAATGTACATACTAATTTAAAAATATCTACAAAATGACTTTGCTATCGTGAAAAATTTTATTTTATATAACTTTACTTTCATATATTTTATACAACTTACGTATACATATATAGCGGCAAAGTCGTATAAACAAGAAACGAGAGCTGCTCTACACTAACGTGTGTTAGTTTTTCTCTCTGCGATTTCTTATAACAATTAAATTTTACTAACAATAAGACTAGACTAAGCTGATGATAATATTTATTTCTATCGATCATAAAAGAAAATTCGCAGCGAAACATGCATTAATCACATTAAAAAACAAAGGACACTTTCTCGTAACATGCATTTTTAAATAATTATTTTAGTGTACATGCTCACATCAGAGGTATCTATTACTGAAGAAGAGAACGCGATCGTGACGTTGGTGATAATTGTGATCGGTATCATCATTGCTATAATGGTGTTGTTCTCGATGGGTATCTTTATAGATTGCAAACATCAGTACGTGAGAATAAATATTTATCTTTGTATTAGCTTTTAATTTTCAAAATATCTGCATTTTGTTAATCAATCAATTTTCGCAAATAATAGTAAAGTATAATTATTTACACCAATTATTACATATACAGAAAATTTTCTTTTATTTAAGTAGATTCTAAACTTGGATCAATATATAATATATTCATATGTATATGCCATTAAAAGTATATAAAACGATAATAAAAATTAATAACTGTTATACAAATAATGATCGATGTTGTTGCAGAAAAAAAGATTCTATGAAAAGAGGAAACTAAAACTTAATATGCCATCATTAGAAAGAAAAAACGAAAAGATGAAGTTAAAACATTAGCTTCGAACATGTGTCCGACTGCTAGTGATATCGGATTCAGTGTAAGTGATGCTATAGTCTGATGTACTTGATGAGGGATAATCCTTATTTTATAAAATATTTATAGAAAATCTGAAAAATATATATTTTTATTGTACGCAATTAATAGCTAGTATTTAATATTAAAGTTTTAGAAGAAATAAAAAGAAATGCACGCCACTAAAACATTTTCCAAATTTTATTCTCAAAGAGATATGTTAGTCAAATATATCATACGATTTATTTAATATTAATTAAGAGTTTAACATTATTTAATATTATATTATATATTTATTTTAATATCTACTTTATATATACATATGTATGTAAATTATTGTAATAATTATTGTAAATTACATTGTATATATAATGTATTAACTAATAAAAAAATAAAAATAGAAAGCATTTCAAGAAAAATTTATTGTTTCACAAAAAATGTATATAAAATTACAATTTACAGTAAGTGTAATATATAACATCAAAGTAATCGTTACTTTTGTTAATTCCTTACAAATATATTGTCGCTAAATCACTTGTTGCAATATTGGAATGTCGGAATTTAGCTTTTAGCTTTAACGAGTGCATCACAGTTTGATTAAAATCATTGACTTTGTAAATGTATTTCTTGATTATTAATCTTCAAGTTTCTTTTTCTTTTTAAGTTTCTTGATCCACAAGAGACAGATCACGGTTACATCAAGCGCGTCCTAGAACTATGGCCAACAATGCCATACGTACATAGACTCCATTTTCAGCTTGTCGAAAGTAAACAGCCCGTGGATCGGTGTCGAACTCCGTGCTTATTTCAAAGACACGCGGCAAAGGGTGCATCACTACCATTCTTCTCTTTGCGCGAGACATCAGTTGCGGGGTGACTATAAAGTGTCCGCACATCTGTTGCATGTAATAATTTTATCAAGATATAATATTATACAAAGCTAATTTGAAAGTGATAATAGTATAAAGTATAAGCTTTAACTTGAGGACAAATTATAATTGTGTTATCAAATAATACAATAGAAATTCGGCAAATTAAAATTATGTATATAATAGAAATTCAATAAATTAAAATTATATACATAATAAAAATTCGGGAATTAAAATTATGTATATAATAGAAATTCGATAAATTAAAATTATGTACATAATAGAAATTCGGTGAATTAAAATTATGGTCATAGCATCGCAATTAACTGTTATTGCAAAGATTAACAATTTGACAGTTATAAAAATAAACAATAGAAATGATATCAAAGAACCGCGCAAAGCGCGTACTCTTGTGTTGTCTAGTTTAATAAAAATTGAATAAAATATTTTAAAGACCCACCTTATGATATTCCTCTTGCGTGTCAAATCGCTCGTGTTGTATTCGTGTCATATAAAGAACATCGGTGTCGGGCAGAGCGTCCTCTAAGCTTGAAAACTTCTCTTGGGAAATTTGACGTTTGGCCACGTAATTAACGATATGATCTGGCATGTCCAGGCCAGGTGGATTCACATAGCGAAGCTCCACGTTATATAGCGTCAGTAACCTGATTCAACATTAACATTTAATAAATAATACATGGCAAAGAAATATATTTTTTTAGTTCAATTAATGATTGTGGGCGGGAGAAATAATTGGCGTACATAATTACTGAAACTACGTAATATTAGAATTTATATTCCAGAATCAATTAAACATTTTGTATAATCTCGTTAATTAGAATTATATGTATATATTATTCGATTTTTATGAAGGTATTGCATTTTTCTATAATTATTTGACAAAATTTATATTTGAATTCAAATTTTGTTATTATATAAAAATATGTTCAATGATCTCTACAAATTTTTATTATTTATTATAAATATTAATCATGTTTAAATTTAGAATCGTTATCATTTTATTTTTACATTTTTTTATAACACACAGTATTTAAATACAGTCTTAATTTTTATCAGAGATTCTCTAACGAAATTGAATTTTCCTTAGTAAAAATAATTAAAAATTTGTTATCCCACTTCATACATATTTTTATATATTATTGAATATTTTAATATACATTAATGATAAGAATATTTTACAAATCCATTCAGGATTAATGTAATTAAATGTTATTTCTTATAAGACTATATTTAAAAAATAAAATTTAATCGCACTACCTTGCAAGGGAATGTACGGTCCTGCCGTGTCTCAAATCTCCTACCATCGTAATTGTAAGGCCATTTACGGTTCCAAATTCATCCCTAATTGTAAAAATATCGAGCAATGCTTGTGTGGGATGTTCGCCAACTCCATTACCAGCGTTCAATAATGGTTTCTTACAATGCACCACTGCTCTCTGTAAATTATTATATTAATATCGAAAAAAATATTAAAATGCTCCAAAAATGCATATATATACCTATAAGTGTATATATGGAAATATTTCTTATACTAGTAAAACTTGTAACTCTCTTATACATATATAAGATAAATTTTAATAAATATAAAAAATCTATATAATAATTATTGTCTTACACTGTGTGTGCATTTAGCTATATTTAAAAAAAATAAAATTAAACATTAGAGATTTTATAAATAAGATTATTGAAAGTATAATTCTTTGAATTATAATTATAATATATTATTTCACACGCAACACACCCTTATTTCTATATAATTCGAATACTTACAGCTACCGCCTCCGGTTTTGAGTGTCTGAGTACGACTACATCCGCATATCCCGCCATGACTGCTATAGAATCTATAAAAGCAATAATTCAATAAAACTCATTGAATATATAATAAAAAAAACCTAAATTATGTATTTTTTCATAGTTATTGTTTCTCTTACAATTAATTTGCAATTTATTTTATCTAATTAGTTTGCAGATTGTTATTACAGATTAAGAAAATTGTATTTGGAATATTCTTCACTCCAACATAGTCAACATTTTCAAGAGGATTGTATTTTTTTGTTGCGAAATCTATTTACAGACCTTCTAATGTTTCTCCTTTTTTTACCGATGATGTGGAATTATCCATGTATATCACGCGACCACCAAGACGCTCCATAGCGGCAGCAAAACTGCATGATGTTCTTGTGCTGACTTCGTAAAAGATAGAAGCCATAATTTTTCCCTATTTATAAATAACACTTATATATAATTTTCCTTTAAAGTAAGAAAACAGATAGATTATTTGTGTATATTACTTAAAATTAACAATATTATCATAAATTTAATAGATTCCATATACAATATATTTTCAGAATAATTTGCATCAAAAAAGTTTGCCATGTATTTTGGCAATATAAAATTGTAATATATATTTTAAAAATAGCAACGTGTGCATATGCAAAAAAATATGAAATTAATGTTATTAATGTATGTATGTATACTTAATATATATTGATATATTCTTACAATTTCTTATAACAATATATTCACAAGTTTTTATTATTTTTAATTATATATTTTTAATTACCTTTAAGATATGATCCAACGATCGCTCTTTTCTAATAGCATTTCGAAAAGTTTCCGCAAGAAGAAATATCTCTTTTAGTATTTCTTTATTAAATATATCTACAGTAAGTATATGATGTCCGATTAGATTACTGCTTGCATGAACGATTGGAACAGATGCGACAGTAGACGTAAGAAGATTCGGATTACTGTTGCTTTTATATCTGGTGACACTGCTAATTGGCAATGGTGAGATAGTCCTTTGATGAGACGGTAATACTTTAGAATGTTCTCTTGCATCACTATCTAGCACGAAATGTACATTCGACTTGTGTGATGCCAGTTGCAGGAGATGAGTAAAATCTAACAATATAGAAAATAAACTTATATAATTTTGCATTATTTATCTCTGTCTATTATAGAAAACTATAAATTGTCCTTACAGATAATAAGGCACACATGCAATGCAAAAATAATAAAATTCGTGTTGCATTTGCTCTTTTACTTACTCGGTTTAAAAATGTAACAACATATCTTGACATTATTATTTATATACATATTTATATGTATATACAATTATATACATGTGTATTTATACACAATGAAGAAATTTATTCATATACAATTTATTCATATACAAAACGGAATAGGTATTTCATTGTAATTAGACTGTAGACAAGATAATAGAAATTTAAAAAATGTAATAATATTAAAATTCTTCCACAAAAGATTTTTATTGACTAGCAAGTAGAGTAATTCTTATACATATATATGTATATATAATATTGTCTTACCAGTTCGTTCCTCTTCATACGAATCAGCGACACGATCAGCATGTATGTTAGATTTTTCATAATTTGGTGATAAAAGACTGTCCAATAGTGACAATGGTTTACAGATGGCATCTTGACTGGATATCATTGGTATATGATGCGTTGATGGAACTTTTGTCTTGTGTTGCATATCTCTAATGTTTTGACCGAATCCAGGATTTACCAAAACTTTGCCCTCGACATAAGCAACCTCGCCTCTTAAGACTACTCTGTGCACGGAACCGCGAACTTTTATACCAGCAAAAGGTGTCCATTTTGATTTGCTAAATGACATTGCTTCCGGAATGATCCATTCATCGTCTAAATCTACTTCGACATACGTGTTACGTTGATCCGGAATAGCAAAGATTCTTTTGGGATTTCGGTATAATCTGTCAATAATATCCTGCACAATAAATAAACACAATAGTTTAAAATAGTAATTTAATATTGTTTATGCTTTATATTTGATTATAATGATTATTTACATACTATTAAAAAACATGCAAGTATATTAATGTTAAAATACTGTAATCTGTAATATTTTCATTAAAAAGTTTCTTTCAGAATTTCATCAAAAGCAAAGTAAATTTTTGATAAAATACTTCAGACTTCGATTTATTACGCGCATATAATTAGAATATAAGTTATCTCCGTATAAAAAAATTATCATAAATATGTTCATTTTCATAAAATTTAGTTGAAGGTTTTTGCTTTAGTAAAACGCTTTACAACAAATTTCTTTAAATATCTTGACTTATTACGTCATGTTAAGTATGATTTATCTCTTCGAATCACAAAATGACGTATATAAAATAACAGCCGCGTTCATTATCGAGAACAAAATGCTTATCAGCATTCCTCACTCCTCACGTCAGCCAAACATAAGAAGTTACAATACCTCTATAGTCAACCTTCCTTCGTGCACACTATTAAGTAACAGCGGTAGCATAGTTTCCAACCCGGGAAATCCTGGCGGTGGATTTTCGGAAGTCTTTTCTTGCGCGGTGTGTGGAGCTTAAATACAAATAAGCGTTTCAAGACAAATATATAAATTATATATCTCATCATATCTTGCTAAAAATGATTTATTTTTTATTTAAATAAATTATACACACACATACATGCAGTGTGAATTATTTTGTGAATTATTAAAACATTTATTTTTATCAAAACCCATTGCTTATTATTTCTAACTAACTGTAATTATCCGATATAATATCAATGCTTCAAGACAAAAGAAATATTCTTGTATGCTTTAAAAGCAAAATAAAGTAGATGCTATATGAACATGAAACATTCATATTTTTTATCTTTGAATCATAAAATAATTTTGATTATTATCATTTATAAATAAAGGTATTAATGTATATATTTTACTTTTCTAGTATAGCGTAAATTTTAATTTAAAACTACAATTTGTATCACGTAATTATAATTATACAATTAAAAATTAGAGAAATGATAAAATGATAAAATCTTCACGTACCATGATCGGTTGCGAAACAATCAATAACATCTAAATTATCCCAAAGAGCTTGTTGGTCTTCTTTTGTTCCTAGAGTAGGTCTTACCTGACCTCTTTTGCTGCCTATCCGATCCAAGTCATCTTGACAAAGAAATAAATGATGCGGACATACCTCACATGTAACTGCCAATCCCTGAAAAAATCCAGTATATAAATGCAGTATATGTATAAATTAGATCTTTAACATAAAAAGAAATATCTCGTAATTTTAAATTACAAAAATTTTTTAAATGTTATATGTATATTTTTCCATTTTTTAAATATAAAATTTATAATCACAAATCAATTAAAAATCATCAAAAATTAACTAAAAAAATCAACTTTTAATCTTATTACTCATTCTTATTACAATATATTATGACAATTATTACTATTTGTTATTAATATTTTTATATATAATATGTATAAGTATATATACTGATTTCTCATAATTTAGTTTGTTTTTCTTGTTAAACGCGTTGTTAATATACTCACATGTTCTTTGGCAGCACGTATAATTTGAATTTCCTCTTTGCGAGCCACATGACAGACATGAATCGGTCTGTTATGCAAACTCGCCAACAAAAGGACCGCAGCTGTGGTTTGTCCTTCTGCATGCACGCATAAAGGATATTTCTTAGGCCAGCTTTCAAAATGCTTAATCCAAACAGTAAGATCAGTAAGACGTAGTGTCGTAAACGTCTCATTCAGGTACATTTTCAGAGCAGCAGCATGCGGTGCTATTTCTCGTATAGCATTATAATTGTCCGACGAGGCGCCGATAAGAGTGCATAATCACAACGTGAACCAGCCGCAGCTTGCTATTTCAATGTAATATAAATAATTTCATTATCTTATTACAAAATTATTTTAAAAAATAAAAAAATATATATATATATATATATATATTAATTTGAAATTTTGCAATTTTATTACAAATTGTAAAACTATATATTTGTAATTTTAGATAAGAAAGTAAAGTTTTTTCTCACAATCAGATAATCAAATATTGTACGAAATCAAATTAATTTTAAAATATTTATATAAGATATATTTTTGGGCGCGCATTTAGTATGTAAAGAAGCATAACTATATAAATAGTTTTTGACGTGTGTAAAGAACATTTTTTAAATATAAAAAAACTTAATATTTTTCAAATAACGATAAAAATATCATTTCTCAAGTTATTTTTATCATATGATATTATAATGTCAAAAACTCGTTTGCTTCAGCGACTAGTTTTTAAAAGATAAATGATACTTATGTTTCAAATTACATTGCAAAGCTAGAGAAAGAATATTTTGTTTGAATTACACTTTTAAAATATATGCTATGATAATGCATTTTTATATGTCCACTGTCGCCTCTCCCTATAGCCACTCATAACCACTCATTGTCAATATTTAATATCAATAAGTACTCAGAAAGTAAAACGCTTTGCTTAATGATCTATATAATTACATTAAATTATAATAAGACGAGAGAATAACAGAAATTTTAGATTTAAAAATTTTAGCATGTTTTCCTCATCGGCATTAGCAAATATATTAAAAAGTTCTGATATTTGTTAACTGTATTCAATATTACATATTTAATAAATACACGGAGAGAATTTTCTTTTAGAATTTACCTGAAAATCGTGGGACAATATGATATTCGAAAAATTTTATAAGAATATCTCTAATTAATATTTAGTACAACAAAAAATATTAAAATGTACATAGTAAAATTAATCGAACATATTTTATATCTATTTGTAGTAGATATTAATATTTTTATTGTAGTAAATATTAACCAGAAAAACTTTCATAAAATTCTTTCAATACTATATTGTCTCATGATTACCATGATTTTCAGGGTAAATTCTAAGAGAAAATTCTCTGTGTAATAATTAATATAATTGCAAGAACATATATTTATATAGTTCAATGTTTCGAGTCAACTATGCTTTTCTTTAATAATTTTAAATAAACAAATAGTATATATTATTATATGTATATGAATATAGTGATATTAATAAATAATTTGTCAAATGTATAAATATATTCAAATTGTAACGAGGAAAAATCAGTTTTAAAACATTCAACATTTTGATATAAAAATGGCAATTGATAGATTAGTAGAGATTAAGATGCCGGATGTTCAAGATTAATTGAAAAATTTAACTGATCTGATTTATTTTTATATAACAATACAAAAACAAAATGTGCAAAGCATTAATTTTTAATATTTGTGAAAATTTTTTCACAAGCGCATAAAAGTTTTTTTACTATTTATTGTGTATTAACTTTTTGAAGTTAAAATTAAAAACTTAAAATATAAGAACTTGAAATTATATATTTAATTATTTTTAGTTGAATATTATAATATTTAAAAATTTTGCAAAAATTTATAATGCTTAAAATTTATATATTTAATTCTAATTATGAAAATTTCTTATTATGCATATATGTATATTGCGTCTTTTGATCAAGAACGCATATAATATTATTTGCAAATAAAATATATATAATTTCTTTTCTTATTTTTGACATAAAGGATGCGTTTGTATTTATTTTATCATCTATATATAAAAAAATTATAAATTAATTTCATATTATGTACAAATAAATTTGCTGAAAAATGTATAAATTCTTACTTCTTTGGCAATGGCAAAAGTCTGATGATTCACCACCGCTGGATGGTGTTCGGCATCGCGAAAATCATTGTAATGCCTCCGGCGAGCGCTGCCGCAGTACAAGAAGCAAAATCCTCTTTATGGGGCGCTCCAGGATCACGAGTATGTACATGCACGTCAATAAGGCCAGGTAGTCTAATCATTCTGCGCGACGACAGACAATCGGTGTATGTTTTCATCCTTGGTGCTTTTCCACCAACCATTCTCAACGCCTATACAGAGCACAAGAGAATACATAGAAAATTGTAATTTGCCACATATTTATGTAGGAATGAATTAACAAGGAGAAAACGAGAAGTATATTTATTAAAGAAAGCTAATGGCAACGAGCAGCTAATAATTGAGTAAATAAAAGGACGAATGAAAAAAACCACTTGATTGGAGAATTTGTCTGCCACGACGCATATTTTATTTATAATAATTATATAATTTATTTATAAGTAATGCAAAGTTGTGTACGCTTAGCAATCACCATATAAGTAATGTAGTTGAATGATTAGCAAAAGATATATATTATATGTACATATTATTTCTCCCGATAGAAAATTATTTACGAAAATGAGTTAAAAATTAATATTTTTTCATTATATATAATTCCAACATATTATTATACGCATTATTATTTTTTAAAAACTTTAATACTGATTTTTGATACAAAATTTCTTGCCTTTTATATCTGTTAAAAAACTAATTAAATATATAATTAACATCATATATATACATATTTTGCAATGCGAACACGTCATATCGAGAAAACTTGTTATATTTTTAGCTGTTTAAATAAAAATGTTATTCCTCTATATGTTATGCACACATATAAAAAATTAAAGATATTTATATTTAACAAAATAATTATTTTTACTACTTTAGACATATAATTTTTAATAGAAATATATTTATTTAAATTAAATGTATGCTTATATCATACTTTTATTATAATATATGATTAGTATAATATGATTAGCTATTAGACATAAGTAACAATAAAAGATATTTTCACTATGCATATATTGTTATAAAGAAAACTCTAATAGCTGTTTTTGGAACATTTATATATATATATAAGAATATCAAATAGAAATTTGAAATAAATTTTGATTTTTAGTCATAAAATATTTCTTTCTATAGTATAAATAAAATGATTTTATGAAATTATTTTGCTTTTCGTATAAAAACTGAGAGAAGTTCTATCAGTTCTGATAAATGAAATATTTGATTCCTCTGGATGTAAACTTTGCACCTAATTTATATACCTTATCTACAATGCGAACAAAATTATACAAGTACGAATGAGTAATACAATCTTATTTATCAAAAATGATCTTTGATCAATGACGCGAGGATGATATAGAATATAGTTTTAAATAAAAAGGTAATGGTTTTATCTATATAAGCTTATTGTAGTCGTAACGTTAGAGTTTAATCAAATTTTACTTCTTGAAATATATTTTTTTAGCTAAAATTGTATACATCTTTATTTAATATGTACAATATTTTATTTAATACTTTTGTAGATTTTATGTACTCACCTCGACTAGAAGTTTCGCACATTTAACATCCGTAATTAAAGGTATCGAATAATCGACTGCTAGCCTTCTCGTACGGTAACCATGTGTCATAAAATTGGAAACACGTCGAGCACCACCATTTCTCATCGGCAAATTAATTACAAGATCAAATTGCTTTCTTGACAAAAAATCAGCAAGATGTCGAAGATCACTCGGACTAGAATCTTCGTTCACGGCGATGTTTTCAAACGTCCATTGCACTGGTTCCACCTACATTACAGAAAGTTATTATATTATAGATATAACACAGCAAAGCTTAGATAATTGTTTATAATGATCGAATACTCAGAAAAATTATGATAAATGTATAAGGTAATTTTTAAAGCATACAATTTTAATGCATACAATTATTCAAATACATTACAATTTTATGCTGTTAAATGCATAATAAATACGTTATAAATAGCATAATAAATGCATAATAAATAGCATACACACACACACACACACACACACACACATATACATATGGATATACATATATATGGATAATTGAAATATAAAAATTGAAATGTAGATATTAAAGATATTTAGTTGTTAGATAAAAAATATAATTAAATATGATTAAAGGTATACATTGAAAAACAATATGTATTTGCAGTTGTGCATTACATTGTTCCATAATTAATCTGCAATTTTTGTCAAGTTATTTTCTAGTAGAGGAATTTAAGATTAGATAATAACTATATTTTTATATATTGTTATACATCACAAAAGACGAATTAAACTTATTATTTGTATGCATTACTATATCTCTACAAAATAATATAACAAAATTTGATTATGTTCCAAGAGGCAACGCAAATTTATGATAACTTGTAATTATTATCTTCAATATTATTGTAATATTATCATTATAAATCAAAAGATTAAATTATAATATCATGAAAATCAGTTAATTTTTATAGATAAATTGCCACAATCTATTGCTTGTATAAGACTGTATAAGATTGGTGCACTCTTTTTCATTTCTCTATTTCTCTCTCTCTTTTGTAACAATATATTTTGTATTATACTTTTAATTGTATATATTTTCTTATCAGAATAAATTATTTGTAAAAAATTTATAATAAATAATTTTCTATTTATATAATATATTTTACATATTTTAGCAGATATTATTAACATAAAAAATGCGAAATTATTAATAAAAGTTATTTATAGCTAATATATTGCTCCTATAATTGTATGAACCAGTCTATGATGATAAGAAACTGTTCGACACTGGCAAGTCCGGTAAAATATCAAAGCTTTATCGTATCGACATTGACGCGATTTTTCATAAGTATTTTATGTCAAGCTTGTTTGTCGATATCTGATTGTATAAGCGGCCGATTAAAATGCCCTGCTCGATAACGAGATAGCTATTTATCGACATGGTCACCCCGCGAGAGGACTACTATCTTATTGATCATCGACACGTTCGTACGTGAGCATACATAATGCTGTTTCCTCGCTGACCTTGAAATTAAGATGAGAAAATTTTGGTGACGTATGTATATAGTGGTGAACCTAAGTGATCCATAATTGGTGATTGTGCGCGCATTTACTATAATTGTTGAAGACGCGCTTCTCACGTGGAGACATTCGCCACGTGGCCGTCTCTAGAGTGCATTTTTTATATTATTAAGTGAAAGAGAAAATGGGAAACTGGTCTTCAACAATTAATGAAAGAAAAAAGAGGAAAAAACTTCAAAGCTCCAAACGTGACATACCTAGCAAACAAGACGAGTATAAAGATTCGGAAATTGAATTAATGAGGAATGCCATCAAAACACATCCTGATAGATTTATTTTAAACAATCTCATGATGTGCATTCAATTCTTTGAGAATTATGAAGAGTAAGTACTTAATATTTTTTACGATAATTCGTTGCAATTGTGGGATAATAATTCGCGACATTCGTAAATGCACAGAGAATTCATAATGGGATTGTTGTTAATATATCAACGAAGCAGCTGAGAGTAGTATATGTATACTTATAATAAATCTTATTGGTAGTAAGATTAAAAAAATTAATACATACATCTATACAAATTGTTATACTTATTAATAAATAAACTGCTTCAGAGTGAAACTCTTACAATTAATGCTAATTTGTATGTACTTCATATGTGTATCATTTGTATCATGTAGAATATTGTAGAGAAATTTTTTGAGAATGCGTGGAAATTCCTTTGTTAATATTATAGTATTGATTCAAGGAATAATGAGATATCATTCAATCTTGATTCTTTAATCTAATCTTCAAATTTTCACTACATATAAAAATATTTTTAGGCATGATATCAAAAGTCGCCAAAGAGAATATATTCAAATTTTTTATATTGTTCGTGATAATTTTAATTATGTAATTAATTGCCAATATATAATTAATTGAGATTTTATATAAACTCCTTTTAAAAATTGATGATTACGCGTGTTCCCATAAACAGTTATCTTTTAATTTATATATCGTATAAATTAAAAAGATTTTTTATAATTATTATCTACATTATGTCATTTATTAAAATATATTTATAAAATTTGATTTAAAATATATTTAATTTAAAAAATAGTAAAGCTCTCTTATGAAATACAAATTTAAATTTCTTGAGCCAGAAAGAGCCAGACGGATAATAGTGTGTCAATTTCAAACCGAATTAATTTTTCTTTTAAACTGAATCTTTGTGCATATATTTTCGAGGCATATCTTTTTGTGCAATATAAAATAACGAAATAAATCTCAATTCGAGATTTTTTCTATTTTTAATAAATCTTTTGGATTATCTCCCTAAACAGGAATAGATTAAAAAATATCAGGGCAAAATCGAAAAATATTTTACTTAATAAATTGTTAGTCAATAAGCTTATCACACATGTTATAATGTTATACTATATCACTATGTTTATCTTTATTATTATCTCATTTCAATATATAAAAAAATTATTGGAAAACAAATTTCTTTTAATATTTTTACCTCTATTTTTATGTTAGTGTTTTACTAAATTATAACAAAATAAATGCTCATTTCACACAAATTTCAGGACAGATATAAACTTTTAAAATTATCTATATTATATAACAGATAGATTATGGCATAACTAACTATTAAATTTTTTGCAGTGACATACTTCAAATTAAGGAAACTCTGGCATCGTCTTACGAAGCTAAATTAAATAAGCAACTACCACCTCAAAAGCATGTTTTATTACCCGATATTCTTCAGGAATATATCGCACGCAATATCATCTTTACTTCGAAGAGGCAGACTGATGATCCTAGTATTGAACCGCTGCAACCCGTTCGTATTTATGTTGTGTACGACAATATTGAAATTACAGAGCAGCATTATCAACCAGAGTACAGTAGTCTGAACAATGGAATCACATATAATGTGATGGTGCAATCAAGCGAACATTCAGGTAGGTATAAACTTGTTTTAAATAATATAGTTTATATAGATTGTTTCTCAAATTTTATACATATTCATTTTTTTTTCTTTCGCGCAATAGATTCATGTCTTAATCTAAATTTGTTTTTAGCAAAAATATCTCGTTAATCTCTTAAATTATTATAGAATGATGATAACGTCATATGACATTGTTGCTAAGAAAAATTTTATTAATAATTTTAATAGCATTCTTTTGTCTATAAAAAATTTACAAGTATAATATTTTGTTGATAGGATACGTACGATTACGATGTCTCGATGAAATGCCGTATCCAAGAAATCTTAACGAAAGAGTTCCTTCATTAATAACAAACGATGATGAAATATATTATAGTGACAGCAGCATTTACCGTGGTAATTCAAACATGATGCGTCAAATAAAAACGAAAAATCTACAGACATCTGTGATCCGTAATATTGGGTCTTTGCCCAATCTACACTATGACGAGACGATATATGAAGATCAAGTATCCCTCTCGCATGTAAATATTTACAAAACTCGATCCAATTCCTACATTAAATCTGAATCTGATTTAGAGCACATATCTTCGATAGATAACCAAAGAATTGACGTTAAGAAAACGATATCGAGGAGCGAATTGAATCATGAGATCAGGAAAGAAAATTATCAACAGACAGCTCAACCTTCAAAATTAATGAATTCAAAAGTGGTCTGTAGGCCACCAAGCACTATATATTCTACAGAATCATCCGGCTACAGATCCGGAGTTTGGGATAGTGATAGCGATTATAACTATCGCGTTGCGACTTCTAGCGTACAGACCACTTGTAATACGAATCACGATGAGATGGATACGTCAACTAAGATATATTCAAACGCGATAATTCCGACGCAGTGCTTTAGGAAAGTCAAGATCACTAATGAAGGCAAGATTTACACAACACGAGAGGAAAGGAAATTACCACAAAACAGCAAACAGCTTCGTCTTATGATGATCGATAGGCAGTATGATTGCGAGGTCTTTTATATTAGCAGTGAAAGATTTATGAGACATTTTTGTAATTTCTTCGTAAATCAACTGGCGGAGCCGTTGGGTTTTAAGCTGAATGATCCAAAGCACATGAAAAATTCGGTTATCCATTGGGACAAAATAATGAAATCGTACAACCGTAAGCATTGTAAGGTCGAGTCATACGAGATCACGCCGACGATATGCCTGCAATGGCCGGAGTGTGCTCAGGAGTGGTTGAATCGACCGAGAAACACGTGGCCTAATCACAATGATGTCAACAAAGTGAAGGACTTTGGTTGTTATGTGGTACCCGAGAACTCTTTTTCAAAACAGAATCAAAATTTACAAAAGAGCATTTATCAGGAAATCGAATGGCAGCTGGCGTTTCCAGCCGCGGAACGTTATCTGGAAACCTGTATGACCCATTCGCAAGTACAAGTATACTTGATCGCACTAATGCTTCACAAGACATTTTTAAGGCCAGTCAAAGACACTATGCACGGCCTAACGACCTCTCATATCAGAAACATGCTGTTCTGGTTGATCGAAAAAGACGGTCCCTCGATGTGGCCTGATAATTGGACTGGTGAATGTCTAATTAAACTGCTTAGGCGTCTTTACTATTGCATTAACAAAAGCGAGCCGACTCTGCCTGACTATTTCATGCGTGACAAAAACATGTTGAGTAAAATATCGCGCGATGATCTGTACCATAGTCAGAAACAACTACAAAGAATAATTGGGAATCCTCTTATGTACGTGTTCCACGCAATGAAGAACATCAAGCATGACGAAAATTTTTTTCCGCGATTGAACTTTACGAAGCTATTCAAAATACTAACAGTAGAACCGTGGTTAGGTGTGGAATCTCTAATGAATCCGACCCTAGACATGCCGAGAATGGCAGAAGAATCCTACAGGGAAGAGATCTACAATAGATCTGATAGATTCTGGGATAACACTCGAATGAAGAATCACTCAAACTATAATACGCGAGTAATTACGAGCAAAACAGACATCACATCGCGCAAGGCCACGGACTCTATCATTGAGATCTCGGTGAGTTCCTCAAGTGATAAAATTATTGATTAATGTTCGTAATGAGCAATCTCCAGCGTGGCATATATTACTATCATAAACAATTGTCAGACAAAAAGTCGGTTCATAATGTTACACGATTTTTTACAAATTTTATCTTATCTCCCCAGCCAGAAATGATAGTTAAACTCGACGTCGAATCGAGACCGATTTGGTCGAATCGATATCAAGGTCGAGTCATACGACCGATCATTTCTGACTGAGTCCATTCTTTATCGTGATTAGTAGATCAAGAATCACGGTTAACTCACATCTCTCATTCTTCTTCTTTTTTCTTTTTCTAGGAATGTGCCAGCTTGAAAGGTTTAAGACTGGTCGATTTGTTGAACTTTTTTATTGACCATTTTATAAAAATGGCCAAATACTGTCATAGATACAGGTCTTATCAACAGAAAAAGGTTTATCTCGATCAAGCGGATCGACTCACGATTATCCTATCAGATCTGACCAGATGCAAGGACAACGTTAAGACTTATCGCGACGACATCTCCGCTCTAAGAATGAAAGTGGCAACAAATTCAACGAGATTACCGAACAAACCGCCAGAGACACCCAAGAGGAATGAACCTATATTCATCGGAAGTATGAAAGATCGTTACACGCCACAATGTACTGAGGTTCCAATGCAATCAAAAGATGAGCAATCGCACTCTAATCATGAACATATGGATAAGATCACGGAAACAGTTATTCATGAAGTACAGTTTAAAGATGAAAAAAATGCAAATAAAGAAGCAGAAACTATCACAAATGCGACAACGAGCAATGAAGATTCTTGTATATCGACAAGTCTTGTATCAAAAAATCAAAGTCATGAGTTGGCCTTGGATATAAATCAAAAAGTAGTTTCTCTAGCGGATCCTCTAAGTGAAACGACATATATATGATCGATATATGTATTTATTAAGATTAGAATGTAAATAATCTATTGAAAAGTTAAATGCTAGTATTAAATGTTTAAGGCGGGTTTCCTCATCAAAAAAATAGTATTTATTATTATATTTCGAGAGACAGTAGTCGATGATCAATTTAGTATCCAAGGAAGACTGAGCGTGCTAAAATTCACGGACAATTTTCTAGCAATATCATTTCCGATATCTTTCACTATCTTTTATGATCTCATTATATTTTATCGCCTTATTAAATTTATTATCGCGGTTAAATATGATATCTCTTGAATAAAATATTTATGCTATAAAAACACAAGAAAAAAGTAAATCTAATATATCACATGTATTTTATCATTTAACTTTTAAATTATATAACATTATTTTAAAGAGACAATTAATCAATTATCTTCATTATTTTTAAACTATTTTTGTAAATATAAATGTAAATAATTTTTTTATGCATGTGATCGTACGCAAAATAATTAAATATTATATTGAAACAAAAAATAATATAATATAAATCAGTAAATACTTTCTTTACTTACTTCGACTCCATGTTCAGTGTAGTAATCGGCGGTACCCATGCTGGCATATAATTTGTATCCCATGTTTTTCAAATTTCTAATAGAACCAAGCAATTCCTTTTTGTGCTGAAATATGTACAAAACTATTTTATCTTCATCGAATATTTTTTCTTTATTAAGAAATCTATTGTTTTAAATAGATTTTAAAAAGTTTAAACGTGTAGTTGACTGCTTTATTGTATAGCAGTAACAGGAGATTTTAGATATTATAGCTAATACATATATATATATATATATATATATATATATATATATAAATTATTTTCTGATATATGTACAATTTAATTACCTTAAAACTTCCTACAGAGAGCAAGATACCCCTTTGAGGAATGTGAAAACCGGTGCTTATCATGCCTTTTAAATAAGCTTCGTAGCGATTTTCACCAAAACAGGCTACTTCTCCAGTAGACACCATCTCGACCCCCAGCATCACATCAGCACCTTTAATTAAGTCGTATATAAACAATAATAGTATTTATTATAGTCATTATACATGTGTATGATTATTAAAAAACAAAGAAAAGACAGAAAATGTGCGCGTACATATGCATGTTGTACATAATACGACATAGAATCATGAAAAGGATTCAGTTATAATCTGTTTAACAAAATGTGATGACGTAAAATATTAGTGTAAGTAAAATATTATTGAGTACACACTCAACATTACGACAAAATTACTTCTTACTTAATATCATTTCTTATACAAAATATAAACTAATTTTAATAATGTTAAATACACAATATTTTATTTAAGCATTCAATGTATAATAAATAATTCCAAAACCTTGAATTTATAAACTAATAAAAGTTCATTTAAAAGGGAAGTTAATTAAGCAAAAAAATGTAAATTTCTGACAAAATATGAAAAAATAATGATATATAAAAGCACAGAAGAAACGTATAAAAATAATATAATATTAAATGTATTGACATGCATTTAAAACTACTATTTATAAGTTTGAAGAAATTTTTCTGTAAAAATTGCAAATATAAACAACCGAAATTCTTACCAGCAAGCCGAGAGAAAGAGAATTGTGGTACTTTTACTCCAACTTTTCCGCAGCCAGCTAAGACGTCCACAGGCTCAATTGTTTCGCCGACGATTAAACGAGTTGCCGTCGCGACAAAGTCATGATCTAAAGTTTTCGAGACGAAAGGAAAAGATCTGGATACTCTTACGTTACACTCAATCACTTTTAGCTCATTATCCTGTATAAAGGTATTTATAATTTATTAGTTTTTGTCAAAAAATTTAAAAAATATAATAAAATCTAAAAACCTCTTTTCTCTTTTCTTCTCTTTTTTCCCTCTTTTCTTTTTCTTCATACTTAATAATTTTGGTGTTCATACAATAAAATGAAATTATTATGTAATTTAAATAGCAAAAAAAAGAAAATATAAAATAGATAATATAAGACTATTATTTAAAAGATATATATGATAACTGATATCATAATAAAATCATTTTTTTAACTGATTTGATCTATATATATAGATCAAATTAGTTAAAAAAGAAAACAATTTTATTAATGATTTTATTATAGCACAATGTATGCAAATCGTCTCTAGTAATTTTATTATCAAATCTATATATACAGGGTGTCCCATAATTCGCGAACCACCGCGAATGGGCAGATAGAGCGTGTTAAACTAAATAGAAAACTCCTGTATCATTTTGCGATATTCACAATAATTATTGAGTTATTTATTAAAATATCTAAACGAATAAGCAGGTAGAAAGTATTATTTGATCGAGAGGCGGCGTCATGCAGCGAGCGGCGACCAATGTAGTGGCGCCGAAAAGTAAGATGATACTTTTGATACTAAGCGGTACATGCACACCGAGTCCGGCCTACCGCTTTCTATCCGCTCATTCGTTTAGATATTTTAAATAATAACTCAATAATTATTGCGAATATCGCAAAATGATACAGGACTTTTCTATTCAGTTTAACACGCTCTATCTGCCCATTCGCGGTGGTTCGCGAATTATGGGACACCCTGTATATATAAATCTTCAAACACAAAAATCTAGCAATTTTTTCTACCTTCGCAATTAATTGCATATTGAAAGGACCTGTGACTCCCAGAGATGCTGCTACTGCTTTTGAGATACTTTTTATCTTCATCAAAGTTTCCTCATTGATATCCTGTGGTGGCGTTACTAATGTAGCATCTCCTGAATGAACACCAGCATTTTCGACATGTTCAGATACTGCCATGCATAGTATAATTCCTTCATAAGCAACGGCATCGACATCGATTTCTTTCGCTTCGAGAAGAAATTTTGATATCACCACAGGATGCTCTTTACTAACTTCGCTCGCGCTCTTCAAATAAGACTCAAGATCCTGATTTGAGTGGGCAACGTTCATTGCGGCTCCACTTAGCACATACGAAGGCCGAACAAGACATGGATAGCCAACTTCTTCGCAAAATTCAATGGCGGATTTTAAATTTGTCAGTTCTTTCCATCTAAAACGAGAAATAGAGCGGAAAGGAGATTGCGCGATAAATATACACTTTTTATACACACATATACGTATGATATATGTATATATGAAAATCATGCATACCTTGGTTGCGATATACCAATGCTGTCAAGCATGCGAGAGAATTTAAAACGGTTTTCGGCGCCATCAACGGACTCTGGTGATGTTCCGAGGATTCGGGCCTGCTGTCTGTGCAAATCCATGGCAATATTGTTTGGTAATTGCCCACCCATTGACAATATTATACCTTCAGGGCACTCACAATCATATATATCCATTACTACTTCAAAAGAGATTTCCTCAAAGTACAATCTATCGCTCATGTCATAATCTGTACTGACTGTCTCTGGATTATAATTAACCATTATTGTTTTACGTTCAAGATTTCGCAATTCGCGCAGGCAACTCACGGCACACCAATCGAATTCTACTGAACTGCCGATTCTGTAAACCCCGGAACCTAAAAAAAATATTATTTTTTTATCCTTTATATATATATATATATATATATATATATATATATATATATATGAAATTGATCTCTTAATTATATTTATATCGGTAATCATAATCGCGCATTTTTCTCTTTTACATATATGTATATGTATAAATAATTATAAGGAATTATTAAAAACCGTTATAGAAGTATAAGAGTCGTTTCAAATTTAGTTGAATATGTATTAAATTAGCAAAATTGTATTTTTTTATTAAAACACAATTTTGTTTGTTACGATTATAATTACAAAACAATTATGTCCATATAACATATATATATGTATACATATATACGGAAATATATACCTATCACCATTGTGTATCCGCCAGGAAATTCTATATCATGACTAATGCCATTGTACGTTAGATAAAGATAATTTGTAGTGGCTGGCCATTCAGCAGCGACTGTATCAATTTGTTTGACCATTGGTCGAATATTATTCTCCTGTCTTTGTATTCTGACAGCTAATTCGGAAATCTTCACGAGAGCGGCAATCTGCTTATCCGAAAAACCGTTCTGCTTTGCGCCCAGCAGCAAGTTCTGCGAAAGTTTTGTATGATCGATGTTTTCCAGGAGCACATAATAATCGATAATGTTCTTCATCTTTTCAAGAAACCAGCGATCAATTTTGGTGAGTTCGTATAATCGATCGATTGTGTAACCGGCCTTGATCGAAGAAGCGAGAACAAACATTCTTTTGTCAGTCGGTTTTTCCAATTCTTCATCGTTGATTGCTTTCACATAAGGATCGAAGCCATTCACATTTTCATTAACCATTCTCAATGCCTTCTGAAAAGCTTCCTCGAATTTACGTCCGATCGCCATTACTTCACCTACACTCTTCATAGAACTGCCGATCTGAAAAGTATTTGATATTAAAGATATATAAAGAAGCAATCGATTAAAATCAAACTATATACAAATAATTATATATTTACATTGTAAAATAAAAGTTTTATATTTTTTCTTTAATTAATTAGCTCTTTATATACTTTATTGTGACTTTTAAAATATCATATTATATGTACATGTAGATTAAGGAAATATATTTTCTTTCTTTCATTTTCAAATATTAGATAATACGAATGATAATATAACATTGTATAAAGTATTACAAAAATTATCTAACGTTTAATGTTTATTAAAAAAATTCAAAATTAAAGAATTCTTATCCATTACCTTTGTGCTGACACGATGAAATTTGCTAAGGTCCCATCTAGGTATTTTAACTACACAATAATCAAGACTCGGCTCAAAACAAGCTGTTGTTTCGCCAGTGACAGAATTACGAATATCCGACAAGCGTATTCCAAGAGCTAATTTGGCAGCGACATAAGCCAGAGGATAGCCGGTAGCTTTGCTAGCTAAAGCCGAGCTTCTAGACAGTCTAGCGTTCACTTCGATAATGTAATATTCTTCTGAGAAAGGATTGAGCGCGTATTGAATATTACATTCTCCGACAATGCCGAAATGCTTAATGACCTTAATAGCGGTTGTTCGTAGCATATTATATTCTTTATTAGACAATGTCTGACTTGGCGCGACAACGATCGATTCACCAGTATGAATGCCGAGAGGATCGACATTTTCCATGTTGCATACTGTAATACAATTGTCATATGCGTCGCGGACAACCTCATACTCTACCTCCTTCCAGCCTTGCAATGATTTGTCAATTACTAGTTGGCTGGAGTGAGCTAAAGCTTGTTGCGCTAAGTTTCTCAATTCTTCCTTCGTATTAGCAAAACCTGATCCAAGACCACCGAGCGAGAACGCAGCACGTGCCATTACTGGATAACCCAGTTTTTCAGCGGCTTCTATGGCCTGTTTAAAAATAAATGATATATTAAAAATAAACATGTTAATTTAACATTTAGATGTTACATTTTATTTTTACAAAATTACGAAAATTACTGAAAAATCACAGATTCTTAATCGATTCAAATATCGCAAATTCTTCAGTAATTAAAAATTTTATTGAATTTTATTATTAACGATATTTCTATACAAAATTAATGTAAGATAGAATTGTGATTTTACAAAACTATGAAAAACATTCTGAGCTGTAAGAAAATGTCTTGTTATTGATATACCTCTTGAACGGAATACACTGCAGCACTTGGTGCGACTCTTTCATTTATCTCGCTAACACGATCTGCAAATATTTTTCTGTCTTCAGTTTGTATGATAGATTCAATCGGCGTTCCTAGAATTTTAACACTGTATTTCGCAAACACGCCGTTTCTCTCAAGTTCTACGCCACAGTTAAGGGCAGTTTGTCCACCGAATGTTAATAGTACGCCCTCCGGTCTCTCCGATCGTATTACCTAAAACAGATTATTAACAAAACGTTCTTTTTTCTCTGATAAGAAGATTTTTAATATGGAATATCCACAGTAAAAATAAAAGCAAATGGTTTTTTTATATACATATAAAAAAAGTAATTATAAATTATTAATTAAAAAGTTCAACCTTTAAATGTATAATTTGGCTTACCTGCTCAACATATTCTGGTGTAATTGGCAAGAAATATACTTTATCGGCCATGCCTTTTGATGTTTGTACCGTGGCGATATTAGGATTTATCAAAAGAGTCTGTATCGATTCTTCCTTTAACGCTTTTATTGCCTGAGAGCCCGAATAATCGAATTCTCCAGCTTGACCGATGCTGAGTCCTCCGGAGCCCAAGATTAGCACTTTCTTAGGCCGTTCGAGTGTAATTAAAGCCGAAGAATCATAGATTAACTTTTGAGTGAGCCTATCTTTTACAGAGATCCGAGGCCGATTCTCATCTTTCACGCTCTCCAAAAATACATCAAAGAGACATTCGAGATCTTCAGGTCCTGCTGTGTGCTCTGGATGAAATTGAACGGAGAAATATGGTAGATTTGAATGAACTATACCCTCATTACTGTTGTCATTCGTGTTGGTAAAGAGTACTTCCCAATCAGCAGGTAATTGAGCCGCATCAACGCAAAATCCGTGATTCTGCGAAGTCATGTAACAACGTCCGGTACCGTGATGTGTCGCCGGTTGATTGTGACCTCGATTGCCATAGCTAAAAGTGAATAACATCATCTGTACAATGATAATTAATTTATCATACTTATTGCATTGTATGACAGAAAAATACTCGTACTGCGTATTCGTATTCTGACGAGAAAATATGTATGTATATAATAACATTTCGAACAATAAAAAGGAAATATCGAGGTCAGAATGTTTGGAGCAAAAAGTGTAATCTATTATATTAATAATTTCAAGAATCTGTCTTTTAAGCAGTATTTGCTAATCTATCCAGCCAAAAATGAATGATCAAATTGATGTTGAATCGATTCGACACCGATTTATTTAATCGACGTTGATTCAACGATTAATCGATGTCGATTTGATATCATTTTTGGCTAGGTAATGAAAATAGTATTGGCATAATTCATGTCGTCACGTACTCCATTTTATATGTGACGCAACCAGCGGCAATGGATAGTAATTGATGTCCAAGACATATGCCAAAAATAGGTGTTTCCTTTTTTTTAGTGAGAACCATTCGGATATTTTGTATGGTTTCTTGGCACATGCTGGGATCACCCGGCCCATTACTGAGGAATAGACCGTCGTATTCGATAGCTCCCAAATTATAGTTCCATGGTACAACATCCACACGGGCACCACGTCTTAACAGACATCTCAGTTGATTGTATTTTAATCCACAATCAACTACACATATTCGAGGATATCCATTCGGATTATATGTTGAATATATGTTTGAAACAGGCTGAAAATTATTGTATTGTATAAAATTTGTGTGTAAAAATAGTATTGTCGGTATAATGTCATCAAAAATACTAATTAAACTGTATTAATATCTTTGTAGATTTATTTTATGTGAAAAAAATTAACGTTTTTGGAAAATAATTTAACGAAATAATTGATTTAATTATTGTACTTGTCATAGACACAACCGCGCCAAAAATTGAAAATTGAAAATTATTATTCGATGAAATAATCAAGTATTTTGAAATTTACTTTATACAAAGAAATGTTATATTACCAAAGAAACTTCGGCAACAAGATTCCTTTTGTTGGGATCTTTTATCGGAGGTATTATTGGCAGAGTGTTTGAGGATGGTTGACCGAAAATGATCCTCCCCAATATAGTACCTTTTTCGCGAATAACTTTTGTCAATGCTCGAGTATCGATATCACATATTCCAGGTACATTTTGTTCTTTCATCCATTCGGACAGCGTCTTGGTTTGACGCCAATGACTGGGTTTTTCGCAAATTTCTCCAACTATTAGTCCAGCGGCCCAAATACGATTAGACTCGAACCAACTGTCAAAATTAATATAATATATAAATAAAATATATTTTATTTTTAAAAAGTAATATTTTTTAAATTATATTTTCTTATTATTTCTCTATCAACATAAACTCAATGATTAAAATATTTTTAAAATATGCTTTATATATTATAATATCTGCTATAAATACTATTTGATGTTATGTTATTTTATGTATATAAATATGCGTATATATACATACATATATATATATATATATATATATATCATATAAAGAAAAAAATGAAATGATTAAAACTGTAGATTTATCAAGAGATGCGCAATAGCGTCGCAGTAAGTATATCTTCTGTTCGTCTTTAATCTCTAATCTTTCTCTACATATGAACCTTGCAGAGCCATATATTTTCCCAGCGATGCACGATCTATTGAACACCATATGGAAACTGATACACTGCTCTTGAAAAAAATTCTCTATCTCATCCATCATCTCCTTGTCACTATAAAACGATAATGAGTTTATTGTCGAGCACCAAGGCTTCCTTGAATGATTGTTGGCTCTCCATTAGAGATAATCTGTCATTTCTGTAGTGACGAGGAAGTAATTACGAAGATGGAAAACTTTTTTCAAAAACAATATATCGGTTTCTGCAATAGAAAACAAGTGTGACTCTGCAGGATTCATATATAGAGAGAAACCAATAAAATGTATCCAGTTTTAATCATTTCATCCTATTAATTTATTTAATTTTAATTCTTTTTAATGATTTCTACGTGCATCTAAAAAAAGATTTATCGCTATTGTTCAAGTTACGCATTGTATCAATACGCTAATTATCACACAGCCTTATCTATTCTTGCAAACGTGCTAAACATAGTATGCTATTATCATATTTCATTTCTTTATTGTATAAAACTTTAAACATAATAAAGATATATTAATATTGTCATTTTACATATCTAGTATAAGAAAAAGGCTTATACTGTAAACGTCAATTTTAATTCAATCGATTGACATGCAAGATATGACGATTAACATTATATACTTTATATTAAGCTTATTAATGGTAGTTAAATTAAATTTTATTCCAATCACTTACTATGGTATGCCATTCTCGTCTTTTTCGTCACCAAACACACCATAATTTCCGATGAGGGGATATGTTAACACCAAAATTTGAGCATGATAAGAAGGGTCCGTAAGTGATTCTGAATAACCAACCATACCAGTCTGGAAAACTGTAAAAAATAATAATTGCATTTTTATATTTACAAATATATAATATGTATACCTAAACATATGTTTTATTATTTCACTTGCATATATAATATTTATGTTTAAACGCAAATCTCATTCATCTAAAAAAATACATGTTTCAAATGTCACAACTAAAATATTTTATAAATTTATATTGATTCCTGTGTTTTATTTTATATTATTAATTCTATTGGATTAATACTATTGGAAAAAGTGGAAATTTAATGTTGTAAAACGCATATCTTATTTTGCTAGTATTTTATCATAATTATATTTTCGTAAGAAAGTGTACTCGCGCATGTCTCGAGGACTTTGATTTTGATTATAGTATTATTGATATTTGCATTTATTAACGACGATTATCACAGTATGCCTGTCTGTTATCTCATCAGGAATTCTGCTAAGTATTCTTTTCAAGAAAGTAGATTTACGATTCAGTTTTTGAAACGCATCTTTTGAACGCGCTGAACGGTCCACAACTTATGAGCAAAACATCAAATTAAAAGTTGATAAAAAGTTAATGAAAAGTAAATACATGAAATTGCCAAGTTTAATTACTATCTATATGTATATTTAAAATCTATATTATTACTTTTAATTTTACTTAAATATTAAGAAAATTGTTTTTAAGAATAATAATAGAAAAAATTGATATTGATAATCACACATCATAAGAATGTTGTTACACCTCAAAATAACGAAAAAAATTATATTTTAAATTATTATTAATCTTTTGACAAAAGATTAAAATGTAGTTGTAATGTGTCTAACAAAAATTTGATAAACATAAAAACTGTTTGTGAATCAAAATTGTTGATATGCACAATAATTATTTAAATGTATTTGAATTAATTGAATTTTGCTTAAACTTTTTTGAAAAAAATTAAGAATAATGATAACATTAAATCATCTATAATATATAATAAACTCTAAAAAATAACTGCAAAGCGAAATTGAAATATTGATATAGTTTTCATTCTGATTTATTCTAATATATATATATATATATATATATATATATTTATTCTGATTTGTATATATTCATTACTAGAAGAATATTATTGATTTGATTTACTTTTAAAAATAATCCATATCTAAGTAAATTAATATATTGTTCAGTCACACATATATCTACAAAGGTTTATGATAATTTGACAAATTATTTATTATTAAATAACAATCTTCTATTACATAAATTACAGTATTTAATTTTTATTTAATCAGTTATTTAGTAAAGTTCAACTGCTACATCTAAACTACATATAATTTCTTAAATAAAATTTGTATATATTTAATATTAAGCAATAACATTGCCCGCAAACATATATTTATAATAAAACCCAAGTAGCAAGTTGACATCATTAAACGTCAAAATGACGAAATGGCTACCTATTAGAAATATGTGAAAACTTTCTCAATTATGAGAATCGTACAATGGAAAAATAATGTACTGATATTTTCACAATATGAATATCATTAAATCTTTCTCGCCTCAATAAGAATTTGTCTCATAAGAATCATACATAATACTTTCTAATCTATATATGTATAGGAAGTTGACTCTTGCAAAGCATGGCAGCGTGCACGTGTGCGCGTACAACTCCAACCTGTTAAAAGGAGCACATGTTCGATATATAAACTCACCAATTTCACCATCAACGGATACATCGGCACCAAAGCGGTTCCCCAAAAAAATATTACCGTCTTCTAAAAGAAGATAACTATCGGTCGCTCCATTGAGCCCAATAGATGCGTAACTAGGCATTTTTAATTTTTTTCGCGTATTTCCTACACACGTGGTTCCAACACACTGCGTGCGTCGCAAGCCGGGAGCACGCTTTTAACATATTAAGCGTCCAATGGCTGCTTCTACAAAACGGTATACGTACCGTTAAAGAGCCAAAATGGGGAGGCATACGACCAATTGACGAGCAACGTTCCCGCTTTGCTGCGCAGAAGTTACAACGCAAGTCATGTGACAAGAATCCCTGCACAATCATTCGTTGCTTCGCATAACGTCATGTACGCTATTAAATTGGCGGGAAGACCAATTTTACTGATCGATACTTATACTTTTCCAATGACATTTCATGATCTAATTTAAAATTTTAGAATATTTGCCTAAAAGTTTGTACATATAAAGTAAAAGCAATTTTATATAATGAAATATCTTTGTATCCTTTCCTTTCTTTAAAAAAAGCATGTTAACTGAGTGAATTTAATTTTAATAAAAGTATCGAGACCTCTTTTCCGCGATGCTAGTTGGTTGTCTCCAAGTAATAAATAAATTAATTTTATGCATTTTTTTTCATCTTTATATTGTAATATATTGCGCAAGTAATAACAAATTAGATTATTATTTTGAGAAAGTTTAATGTGTAAAAGATCTTACAAATATACATATAACTGCACTATAACTATAATAATATATACTAACAATATAATACATAGTAATTGAATATAAACTATAAAACAAGTATGTGTATACCATATACTAAAGTAAATATATAACACAAAAGAATAAAGTAAAATATATATATATATATATATATATATATGTAATAGAATTTTAAATAAACATAACAAAGAATATTTACATTAAATCATAAAAATATTACATTTAATATTTTTCTAAAATTAATATATAATTTGATAAAAAAATGCTTGCTCAAATTCTCCATTTATACTATTGAAACGATATGTTTAATATATATATATTTGAAGTAAATATGTTATCAAATATATGTATATCGCAATAATCGTAAAGTTAATTCTTTGAAATTTAATTTTAATTTTTAGAAGAATGTGGAACATTTTAAACTGTCTAAATTTCAATCAATTATTAGGCAAAATTATAAACAATTAACAATTAATCAACGTATGATTTCTTGTCCAACCCAAAGTATTGCATTGTGAGGTTTGCTCGGTGAGTCTTCGTTGGAAGGCAAGCAAATTGGTATTACGAAATCCGAGAAAAATATTAATCTATCCAGTTATATCAGAACAATCGTACCTTCCACCGGTAATTTAATCATACCAACGATTCTGCGTCCTTGTTGCCAAAGTGATGTACTTGATAGTCGTACGACACCAAGTTTAGCCGACCATTCTGCTTTAAGTTAACTAAAAAAAAAACAATAAATTTAAAATTAAATATATATTATATATTTTTTTAAAAATATTTTGTTGAACTGTATGTTATATCTCAAAATTTAATTTCAATTTAAATTTTGATTTTATTGCTACAATATATAACAATATTAATATAAAATAAGAAAACATTTTTAATAAAATATTATCTCAAATAACTTTTTTAAAAAAATATTAAATTTACCCCTGAAAGCAATACGCAGTTGTAAGCAACCAATATTCCGCCACAAGAGTAACATCGCAAACATGAACACCATCCTTGAAAAGCGCAACATGCCAAGCCAGTCACCAGACCATCCCATTAAGACTTTGAATTCCGTCATTTGTATGTAAAGGTTGTAGTCCACATTTCAGTTTACAACAGAAAGAATATCAAATTATTTACAAGTTTACATATAATATAATAAAATAATTATACATACGTATTATACACTCTTCAATATAATTAAAAAATTAAATAAAAATTAAATTCTCATTTTTTAAAACAAAGTTACAACTATTTAAAATTTGCCTACTTTATGGACAAACTCGTCAATGTAAAAATCAAAATTAAAAATTGCGACCCAACTTTAAATTACGCAAATCCAAATCAGCAATCTTATTAAAATCGTTTATAGATGTGTGAAGTGAATTTCGTTTCGCTTTACGTTGCACAGTTTATAAAATACAAAAGTTTAAAGAAAACTGTCCAAGACAAATTTTTCAAATTTCAAAATTTTTTGATTCTGCTTTGTACATCGATGTAACATTCGCATTCGAATGTCCCAAATCACAAAAAACGATTCTAAACACGACTGAGCATGTATATTTGACATATCTTAAAACTTGTCACTTTTTAAATTTTTCGCTTCAACATCGAAATCGATCTATCTTCGCTTAAAGACTTTAAACGCATTTGAAAATGTGTTTTTAATATATATTAATGTGAATCTGACAACTGACTATAATGAATTAATTTTTTTAATACCGAAAATGATAGTACGTCGGTCGCTCGCGTCGTAAGTGAAAAAATCATAAGTTCAAGTTTTTCCCCAAATTGAAAATAACGCAAATCCAAATCAGCAGTCTTATTAAGAATCGTTTATAGATGTGTAAACTGAATTTCGTTTCGCTTTAAGTCGCACACTTTAAAAAATACAGCAGCTTAAACAAAACTGTCAAAAATTAAATTTTTTCAAATTGAAAATAACGCAAATCCAAATCAGCAGTCTTATTAAGAATCGTTTATAGATGTGTGAAATGAATTTCGTTTCGCTTTAAGTCGCACACTTTAAAAAATACAGCAGTTTAAACAAAACTTTCAAAAATAAATTTTTTCAAATTGAAAATAACGCAAATCCAAATCAGCAGTCTTATTAAGAATCGTTTATAGATGTGTGAACTGAATTTCGTTTCGCTTTAAGTCGCACACTTTAAAAAATACAGCAGTTTAAACAAAACTGTCAAAAATAAATTTTTTTAAATTGAAAATAACGCAAATCCAAATCAGCAGTCTTATTAAGAATCGTTTATAGATGTGTGAACTGAATTTCGTTTCGCTTTAAGTCGCACACTTTAAAAAATACAGCAGTTTAAACAAAACTGTCGAAAATAAATTTTTTCAAATTGAAAATAACGCAAATCCAAATCAGCAGTCTTATTAAGAATCGTTTAAAGATGTGTGAACTGAATTTCGTTTCGCTTTAAGTCGCACACTTTAAAAAATACAGCAGTTTAAACAAAACTGTCGAAAATAAATTTTTTAAATTGAAAATAACGCAAATCCAAATCAGCAGTCTTATTAAGAATCGTTTATAGATGTGTGAACTGAATTTCGTTTCGCTTTAAGTCGCACACTTTAAAAAATACAGCAGTTTAAACAAAACTGTCAAAAATAAATTTTTTTAAATTGAAAATAACGCAAATCCAAATCAGCAGTCTTATTAAGAATCGTTTATAGATGTGTGAACTGAATTTCGTTTCGCTTTAAGTCGCACACTTTAAAAAATACAGCAGTTTAAACAAAACTGTCAAAAATGAATTTTTTCAAATTGAAAATAACGCAAATCCAAATCAGCAGTCTTATTAAGAATCGTTTATAGATGTGTGAACTGAATTTCGTTTCGCTTTAAGTCGCACACTTTAAAAAATACAGCAGTTTAAACAAAACTGTAAAAAATAAATTTTTTCAAATTGAAAATAACGCAAATCCAAATCAGCAGTCTTATTAAGAATCGTTTATAGATGTGTGAACTGAATTTCGTTTCGCTTTAAGTCGCACACTTTAAAAAATACAGCAGTTTAAACAAAACTGTCAAAAATAAATTTTTTCAAATTGAAAATAACGCAAATCCAAATCAGCAGTCTTATTAAGAATCGTTTATAGATGTGTGAACTGAATTTCGTTTCGCTTTAAGTCGCACACTTTAAAAAATACAGCAGTTTAAACAAAACTGTCAAAAATAAATTTTTTCAAATTGAAAATAACGCAAATCCAAATCAGCAGTCTTATTAAGAATCGTTTATAGATGTGTGAACTGAATTTCGTTTCGCTTTAAGTCGCACACTTTAAAAAATACAGCAGTTTAAACAAAACTGTCAAAAATAAATTTTTTAAATTGAAAATAACGCAAATCCAAATCAGCAGTCTTATTAAGAATCGTTTATAGATGTGTGAACTGAATTTCGTTTCGCTTTAAGTCGCACACTTTAAAAAATACAGCAGTTTAAACAAAACTTTAAAAATAAATTTTTTCAAATTGAAAATAACGCAAATCCAAATCAGCAGTCTTATTAAGAATCGTTTATAGATGTGTGAACTGAATTTCGTTTCGCTTTAAGTCGCACACTTTAAAAAATACAGCAGTTTAAACAAAACTGTCAAAAATAAATTTTTTCAAATTGAAAATAACGCAAATCCAAATCAGCAGTCTTATTAAGAATCGTTTATAGATGTGTGAACTGAATTTCGTTTCGCTTTAAGTCGCACACTTTAAAAAATACAGCAGTTTAAACAAAACTTTAAAAAATAAATTTTTTCAAATTGAAAATAACGCAAATCCAAATCAGCAGTCTTATTAAGAATCGTTTATAGATGTGTGAACTGAATTTCGTTTCGCTTTAAGTCGCACAAAAATTAGTTTAAAAAAAGCAAATAAAATTTTTTAAATGAAAAACGCAAATCCAAATCAGCAGTCTTATTAAGAAGAATATAGATTGAACTGAATTTCGTTTCGCTTTAAGTCGCACACTTTAAAAAATACAGCAGTTTAAACAAAACTAAAAAATAAATTTTTTCAAATTGAAAATAACGCAAATCCAAATCAGCAGTCTTATTAAGAATCGTTTATAGATGTGTGAACTGAATTTCGTTTCGCTTTAAGTCGCACACTTTAAAAAATACAGCAGTTTAAACAAAACTGTCAAAAATAAATTTTTTTAAATTGAAAATAACGCAAATCCAAATCAGCAGTCTTATTAAGAATCGTTTATAGATGTGTGAACTGAATTTCGTTTCGCTTTAAGTCGCACACTTTAAAAAATACAGCAGTTTAAACAAAACTGTCAAAAATGAATTTTTTCAAATTGAAAATAACGCAAATCCAAATCAGCAGTCTTATTAAGAATCGTTTATAGATGTGTGAACTGAATTTCGTTTCGCTTTAAGTCGCACACTTTAAAAAATACAGCAGTTTAAACAAAACTGTCAAA